GAGCTTTAAGCGCTAGGGGCTGTAAAACTTAAGACAGGTGCTCTTGGGGTTTCAGATGATCTGGACATTAGGGAGATTAAAAGTTGGGGAATATATATTATTGAGACTTAGTTAGCTTTCATTAAGACGGATTTCATTTAATATAGCTCTGGAAGCTAGTTATAATAGGACAAGAATAGAGAGAGAACTGTGTTGCATCTTATCCTCAAGACAAGCATATAGACCATACTTCCAGCTGTCACTTACAGAGTATACAATTCAGTAGTCTGGGGCAAGTTCATTATGATTCTAAGACCTCCTTTTATAACCCCTTAGCAATAGCCTTCTTTCTAGACTGAAGCAAGTACGGCGTGGTTGCAAGCTTAGTAATTTTGAGTTAACGATTTGTATGTCCCCATGTCTAGAGGTGCCTGCTACCTTAGGATAGATAGAATGCTCTGTGCGAGGAACAGCATCTGAGCTGAAGTGGAAAATTTATGTCCTTTCTCACGCTTTTGTATATATGACGGGCGGAATACCCAGCTAGAGAATGAAAGGAAAGGAGAAAGTTTGGACTGATTGTAATAGGCTTTATCATCACGAGAATATCCCAAGGCCTTACTGATTTTCCTTCACTGTAACTCACACTCCCAGAAAGCCACAGCCACTGTGGCTCTTGCTGCCGATTTTTCAAACTAGAGCCCCAGACATATGTACCTATCGAAATTGACAGAACCAACCTGTGATTGAAGAGGCTGGGAGGAGGCAGGGAATCAAGACTCAGCGCTGGGTACTTTTAGATGATGACCTAAGAAAAAGACGAACGAACTTAAGGATAAAATAAGATGACATGTAGACTAATTTGTCTATGAAAAAAAATAAGATGGTGAGAATCTGTGTTTCCTTAAAACAAAGCGTCTACAAAGAGTCTCTTAGGAAACAGTGTGTAGGGAATTGATCTAACAACCAGATTCCCTTTAATGAGATGACGTGGTGTCGTACCAGCTCGTACTCTGACCGTATTCATTGCATGTGACTAAGACAGAACAGAGGGACGGCGAAGGAATTTGTTGAGTGGTTCTGGTTCTGTTGTTTTACGTCAATTCTTGAAATCGGAAGACCTGGGCTTTCCCCGTCGTGGAGTTTAGAAGAACATGTTGACTCCTTGCGCCTTGCTTTTGGTAGTGCCGGGAGCCACCAGCCTCTTCTAGAACAGAGACTCAGAAAGACCCGAAGACTGTTCGTTGTGATATGCTTCGCTACGTTGCAGTCGAGTTATATATGGACGGGGCAGGGCTTGGATGAGCTGCATACCGAGGTCTCTGTAGGTCTAACGGTTCGTTTACATATTTCGAAGGAATGACACAGCCTTTCGTCACACAGTTGCTCCTTAGCTTAAGAAGTCTGGCTTGCAGTGGCTAATAACCTTTGTGTTTTGAGACAGCCTATATCTTCCCATCCCAGTTCTCCCAGCCAAGGAAACAGATGAGCCCGTCGGCCCGCTGGAATCTTTTTGGAATGACGCTTATGACAGCAAGAGATTATAGCTATGCTATGCTCTCTGATCGACGATCGAAGTACACTCCAAGGACACAGACTGCCTTCACCGTCGTTGTCAACTGCCAGAATACAACCCAAGAGACGAAGGGGACGGACACAATCGTAACGCAACTCGAAAGACCGCGGCGACGAGGTGCTCGTTGCGGCATATCGGTTCGCGGCCCGGCTATGGTGTATCTGGAGCCATGACACCAGTGATGACAGACACTGATGTCGTTTAGCCCAGGCATCTGTTGCCGCAGGCGCCTGCTCTAATGAGTTTGTCGATCGGAAGGATGATTTGTACAGAATGTCCAACAGTGACTTAGTAAAATGACTCCTTCGCAGACCTGCCGGTTTTCGAAAACGATGTGGGACTGAACTGTCTCTGCGATCCAGTGTGGGAATGCCTCTCACCGTCGGAACCCAGGAAGCACACGCTATCATATGCAACGACGGACAACGTCGTAGCATTCGTGTCCAGGACTAGCAGACATGAGAGTATGGCATAAATTGCCCTTTAAATATAAATTGTGGCAATTGCTCTGAGATACGATGATAGAAGCACTATATGGCACTGTCTGGTTGGCGGAGTGAACGAATTGCGACGCGATATTGTACGGGCATCGTCCCCATCGATCGCTGAAAAGAGCTTCGAGTCTCGTTATGGACACATCCTCATCATCAGTAGGTGAATCCAGCTGCACCCACCACTGTCTGGTAATACTGACATTGCCGGCTTATTCAGACAACGATGTCTCCCAGATGGCTTCATAGAAGAACGCGTGGTGAGCTGGGTTGAAGCCACTGCGACGGAATAGAAACATTGATCAAAGTGCAACAGATCACCTTGAAGAAAGTATTGTTAGCGATGACCAAACCTACGACTAAAGTAAATATTCACGTCGAAGATGGGGAAAAGCGTTGCGTCGTTGTCGGATGTCGTCGCTCGATTATATGGGTCGGAATTCGTCGTCCAATCAGAATGCGCATTTTGTCAGCTAGTTTCCGCGAGACGGAGCCGGGGGGAGGTCATCGACACATCCAAACGTAGAAAGGTCATGAATTGTTACTATCGGGCGTGACGGAACCTTGGATTGTAGCAGGGTGTTCCAATTGACAGAAAAAAATAAACCGGCGAGGTCTATACATAAGGTACACGAACCGCCCGGCGTGTCTCTATATTCCTCCTCGGGTCTAAAATCGCCGCTTTATTTTTTTTTCTCGCACGCCCGGCCGGGCGGTTCCCTCCCCTAATACTACACATCGGGCGTGCGCGGTCTCCAAACCACCTCCGCGCCAGCAGCAGGGCGACATTTAGTGGTGCTTCTTCTGGACCTCCATGGTCTCGAAGGCCAGCTTCTCGGCCTCCTCGGCCTGGATCTGCTGGATGAGGGGGCTCAGGTAGGGGACGTCCTAGATTCGGGCATGTGTCAGTCCTCCAATATGTCCTTGTTCGTCATTTCGATTTCGGGGGAGGTCGAAATACCTCTTCGGGCTTGGTCCACTCGGTCTTGTCGAGGAGCTTGTGCTGGTAGGAAAGCTGGACGGCGCGGCGGAGACGGAAGACGCGGTCGTAGGACTCCTTGGGGGAGAGGCGCTTGAGGGCCTTCTGGACGATGTCGGTCTCCTCCTCGATGAGGTCGTCGAATCTGCGGGGGGCAATCATCAGTCGCGGGATCGTTTGCGGCGTCGCGGGGTGCCAATTGGGTCGTCAAGAGCGAATGCGCTTACCTCAAGCCGAGCTTGCGGTGGCCGGCGGCATTGGCGTACCAGTTGGAGAAGGGGATGGCGAGGGACTTGAGGAAGGGGCGGGCGAGGATGCCATCGGCCAGCTGCTTGGAAAGGAGCGAAGTCATTTTGGCGGGCTGCTGGGTGGTGGAGAGGAGATCGGAGTGGTAGTCGATATGAATTGCCTCGGAGAGCGGTTTTGCGGATCTCCTGAGGTTGGCACACTGGGCTAGGAAAATCGTGGAGCTTCCCGGAGAGGCGCAAAGATTCGGGAGATCACATGACCATCCTTGAGATTCCGGTCCAGTCACAGCATCATCAGCCACGGATGACCGTTGATCTGTACGTGCGTTGTGGCTGAGATGCACGGACCACTAAAGTAATCGGGGGGTCAGGAACGATTCGCGATGATTGGCCCTGGTCGAAAATGAGGTAATGAGAGCCACCAACAGGATGACACTGGATGCCCTGTCCACGATAGCACCGCAGACCCTGCTGCCAGATGAGATTTTGTGGTGCAGCCAAAGCCGCAAAGAACCGGCGGAGGTGGAGCTCATTTTGTGGTCTGGAAGCTTGAAACTTTTTTCTCTGGGCATTCCGAGTTGCGATTCAGAGTCGTTGAAGACTGAGTCGGAGACGCTTTCCGACTGCCGAAGTCTTCTCAGCCATAACCCGAATAACTGGCAACTTTGTCATTTCATAGCATCTGAGAAACGGTATCGTGCTGGACTAAGTACCCGCCTCATTGCGACGAAACATTGGTGCGTCATATGTTGATCTCTTTCAAGGCTGCAAACAAGACTTGAGAGAGCTGAGCTGTTGGTATCTCCCGGGTCTGAAGCCAACACCCGAAGGAGAAGGCACATTTCGGCGACTCTCAGCAGCTCAGCAAGTCGGAAATAAAGCACCTACCTCCCCCCGCAGCGTCATCGCACAGGACCCTTCAGCGACCACCTTCACCAACAGTGGTTCGGCATCTCTCATCCAGTGTCCCTTCCCTCCCAGCCCATTGGATCGCGCCGCCTCATCATCTCCACCTCAAGGGCTCCCTGGACGCTGGAGACTGCGACCCGATCCTGGACACCTCCTGCCAAAAGAGACAACCGACAGCTCGCATCATTTTGCTCTCGTGCTCCGTCCCGCTCCACCTCGGCGCTTTTTCGCAATATCTCAGTCTCCAACTCCACGTCCCCCGACTACGCTCCTGCTCCTCCCCCGTGCCGACACTAATTCCTGCAACCACCACCATCTTTCTCACCAACTCTTCTCCTCCTCCTCCGCCTCTCCGCCTTCACCCCTCACTTCACAATCCCGCATGTTCGGGAGCGCGAGCCCTACCCGAACCGTTTCCCACTACTCGCCCTAGATCCCAGCTCCCCCGCAAGGCCAATGGGCTGCGATAACCGCTAGTCGCTCAGTGTCACGGCGGCGTGGGAGCGTTCCCCGCATACCGGGACACTTGGGAACGCCCACCAACGATCAGCACGAGACATACCTGACCGACAGGTGCATTATATACGCAACACATACAAACGAAAGACGACGAACGACATACTACGAGTTCTGATCCCAGAAACATCCCCGCCTGCTTGACCAGCTCCCAGATATTTGGACTGCCTTTTTTTCGTCCAGCTTCTCCGATAGCGAACAACCTCCGGAACACCGCCGCGCTTTTCTTCTATCTACCCAAACCCGAAATTAGTCCACCGCCCGCCCTTTTGACCGCCGATCGAGCTCAGAAGCGAAAGGGGATGTCTCACGACCAACACCACGACCCTCCACGAGGCGCACCGCACCCACCAGACGAAGAATATGGGCCGTATCCGACTTCGACATATCCCAACTACAGCAGCTCGCGAGCCTACCCAGCACCGGTCCGCGCAGCGGCCGTAGCCTCCATAGAGCAGGCTACCGCTGCCATGCCGGCCACAACGATCACACTCTTCGAAAGATGGGCAGCCGGCGCCTCCGACTCGCAGTTCAACGCCCTTGCTGGCGCAGTGGGAGGATTCACTTCAGGCGTCGTAACCTGCCCACTCGATGTCATCAAGACCAAGCTGCAAGCCCAGGGCGGCTTCAACCCTGTCACCAAGGGCAGGCACGTCGGACACCCCAAGCTGTACAACGGTCTGCTTGGCACGGCCGGTGTTATTTGGAAGGAAGAAGGTATCCGCGGCATGTATAGGGGACTCGGTCCGATAGTGCTGGGATATCTGCCCACCTGGGCTGTTTGGTTTACCGTCTATAACAAGAGCAAGGATTGGATGAAGCAGCGTCATGGTAAGACCAGAGAAGAAACAAGAGTGGGGGGAGTTTCAAGGAGACAACTCGGCTGACAATCGTGACAGAAAATGCCGTCTTCATCAACTTTTGGTCATCCATCATAGCCGGTGCTAGCAGTACCATTGTCACGAACCCCATCTGGGTTATCAAAACTCGCCTGATGTCGCAGAGCGTCGCGCATGATCCAGGCAAGCACTACACGCAGTTCCCGAAGTCGTCTAACACACCGACTTCGAGACCGACGTTGCACAGCAACTGGCACTATAACTCGACGGTGGATGCGGCGCGCAAGATGTACACCTCGGAAGGCGTGCTGTCTTTTTATTCGGGCCTCACACCAGCACTGCTAGGCCTGACCCACGTGGCTGTTCAGTTCCCTGCGTACGAGTACCTTAAGACCAAGTTCACCGGCCAAGGCATGGGCGAGCCCAAGCACGACGATGGGCAGCAGTCAGAGTGGGTAGGGATCCTGGGCGCTTCGATATTGTCGAAGATCATGGCGAGCAGCGCGACGTACCCGCACGAGGTTATCCGGACGAGGCTGCAGACGCAGAGAAGACCGGTCGCTGGAGCAGAGTACCTACAGGGCTTGGGCATCAAGGTCCCTGCTTCGATGCTGGGAGACGAAGCCCAGAAGCAACAGCCGATATCACCAAAGTATCGCGGCGTGGTTAGCACCTTCCGGACGATTCTCAAAGAGGAAGGATGGAGGGCATTCTACGCTGGTATGGGCACTAACATGATGCGAGCGGTGCCGGCCGCGACGGTGACGATGTTGACGTACGAGTTCGTGATGAAGCAATTGAATCACGCCAGGGATGAGGGCAGGAGAAAGCAAGAGAGGGACCGCGATCCATGATTCTCGTTATGGATTTCAAGTCATATTTTCAGCGAAGTCGATCGCGTGTCGACACACAAACGACGAACTTGCTAAGAAGAGAGGACAGGATGGCAGAGACAAATTAACAAGATAACCATGTGCGGTATAGCAAGTGGAGGAGAGAAGAAAAGAGCTGTTGAGATTAGGAAACGGGGATGGGATTTTTCCAGATACCCTTAACTTTGGTCGTCAGGTTATAGACAAACTCGATTCAGGTCACGAAATGGCACACACACCGCGGCTCTCCTCTCGCAAGGAGACGCCGAACACCTTCCATCTTTCTCGCACTTTATCCAGCATTCAAGCACCACAAACCCACAACGGAGAGCGCTTTCATTTTCTACAACGTCTACTACGATGGCCAAACGATGCATGGCAAAACGGATCGTATTTCTCGGGGCGGCAAATCTCTTTGTAGCATAAACATGTTCGGGCGCGGAGTATCTAGGGGGGAACACACAAACACCAGCGAAAATACAACGCAAAGTTTTTTCTCAGTATCATTGCGATGGCGCTCGCAGAGGTGATTAGCGGCGCGTGTGAGGAGGGGGTATAGTACACAACAGTACGAATTACATGAATGAGCCGGCGTTTTTCAGCTCGGCTCTGTCCGCGGCCTTTTCGCGTCTCTGGTACGTGTCCCAACGGCTTTCCTCAAGTGACGGGACAACATGCCGGTACTCCTGACTGCGACGCGCTCATGCAGAGGAGTTTGAGTCTGGAGGCGTGGGTCTGCCGCCGCCGCTGTTGATGTGGCCCTGGTGCTGGCCGTGTCCTTGGCCGTATCTCTAGGGATGTGGTCAGCTTGAGTAAGGTACAGAATGAAGAAAATGGCATTGGGGTTTTGAAGTGTGAAGCGGGATGGTTGAGGCGGACGTACGGCTTGGTCGCGCGCGGAGCGGATCGACGAGCGGGTATATCTGTCATAAAGTTAGCTACTACCCCCCGGGCCCGTGAGTGCCATGCGATCTCCGACGAAGCTGGACAAGTGAGGTCGGGACCTACGCGAAGAGGAGGCAGGCCATGGTGAAGGCCGCCAAGGGGGCGGTTATCGTCTGGCAATTGAACGTTAGCATCTGTGACAAACACATGATGATGGTAGTGACGGGACTTACCTTTGGCGTCAGGTTTCCTTTGCGCATCGTGAATGTGTGCTTCTCGCCCGCTCACTTCATTCTCCTGTTGTTGGTGGGTGGGTGGGTGTAAGTGAGTGAGCTGTGCGGATGAGCTGATTTGAGGTGGGACTTGGGAGTTGTAGTGGCGGCGGCGGGCGGCGTGGGGAGCGAGGTTATGTGGGTATCGGGGTTGCCTGCTGGATATCTCTCATGCGTACGCAGAGTCCAGGGAGTTGGGATGTTTTGTCTCTGAGTGAGGTGGTAGGGAATCGGGATGATGACACGATTATAGAGATATGGGTTTGGTTTTTGGATGTTTTGAGTCGTGACCCAGGTTCCGTTTGTGGGAGTTGTCGAGTGTGATGGTTCTTGATGGTGTGAAGTTCAGGATTGGCGTTGAGCACTTACACGAGTGGTTACTCTGAAGTTCATTCACCACATCGTCTAGTTTACTGCAGGTTATCCTGGTGGGAAGATCACTCAGGCACTTTTATATAATGTAGAGGCAGTCCAACACGCATCTACATCAGTCAATCAGAACTGGGTTATCAATGTCTAAGTTAGCGCCTGATTTCGTAGTTGAGATGCCGCTTCACTCGTGAGGGCGCACGGCCCCACGCCGCCAAATATCACAACTTACCACCAAAAATCTTCAGCAAACTCTCTCAAACTTCACGCCCACGCCAAAAATCACCAAAACACAAAAAGTCACTGCGACAAACGGCAAAAACGTATTGATGAGAGTGGGATTCGAACCCACGCCAATTTCTTGACTAGCACCTGAAGCTAGCGCCTTAGACCGCTCGGCCATCTCACCTGGCTGTTGTTGCAAGGTTCGTCGCTAATCGGACCTATATAGTGCTCCACCTTGCGGACCGGAGGAAAGATCGCGAACGGGGACCAAAGAGGTTCTCGAGGACCCCTGTGGCTCCGTTCGTCGCTGCTATCTGAGACTCGCCGTGAAGTCTTGCATCAACGTCTTGGATGGACACTATAATGCTACATGCTTCGTCGCCCGCATCGTTCGGCACAATGCTAATCGTCGCAGTAATACGACGGTGTTCAGATATCTGAAGTGTGCGCGAAGCTGGTCTCGCGGGCGTCGCAACACCTTCCGCGGGTTCAGGAAACACTGCCTGATCCGCGGATGCGATCGATAGCTGCCTCGACCGTGTCATTTTGGACAGCATGGCCATGGGCAAGCGACTCCGTAGTGTCGAGGACTGGTCCCAGTCACCCAGCTGGGCCCAGAAGGCCTTCCCTATCGGATCTTGGTAGTCGCTCAGCAGCATAGCCCAGCGTTCGGGGGATTTGGATTGCGCTCTCGAAATCAGTGACACGAGCAGCAGCTTCGCCGTCGAGGTGTGATGGGGCAGCGTGATTTGAACGAGGTAGGGAGAGGATGGGAACTGTGCGCCGTCTTTGTCCAGAAACACACCGTGTAGGCCATCCCATAGAGTGTCTGGTATCGCCGTCAAGGTCGGGTCGGGATTCTGTTGGCCTCCGAGGTTGCTGTCCAGTCGAACGAATACGGCGCGCTTGAATCTGGCATCCTGGAGCTTGTTCGAACCCACCAAACCAATATGTCGTAGAAGCTTTAATGGTTTGGCCTTCTTATCGTATGACCAGTCGTTGTCTCCCCATCGCTCGACGAGCATCCATGGTTTGTGACGTATGTAACCAGATGGTACTTTGGACAGGCCCATGCATATCCAAGTCCGCGTAGGCGGCGTTCCATGCTTTTGCCTGCAACAAAGAGACAGCACATATTCGCTGTGGTCGGCGGTTTCTGTCTCGTGAGAGGCGAACTGTCGAGCGTGTAATTCGGCCGAAAGTTGCAAGTAAGATTTTCGCACAAGAATTTCGGCATCGCTAATGAGCTGCTGAGTACTGATTATCTCGAGGTTCGAGCAGACGACGAACTGGTCTGGAGATGTTGCGAGCACGCCGCTGTACAGCTGAAGCCGCTCGGGGTCCGTGGTGTCTGACGTCCAAGCTAGGAGCGATAGATCGTTCGTTTCTTGAAGAATCTCTGACTGCAACCGAGCAAAGGCGTTGGTGCCTTCCCCATAAAGCAATGGCATATTGATCTCGAAAAGCCCAAGTAGGCAGTATGCCGAGTCTTCAAGGCGGGTTGTCTGTCGTTTCGCAGCCCACGACATGCGAGTCCCGACGGGGATCTCAGCCAAAGAGACCTTGTTGCTTAACACGGCACGATCGATGCCCGTTATCCAGGTTAACTGTCTGGCCAGGGTTTGCTTATTTCCTAGCAGCTTCCAAGAAGAGTTGTAAAAAGTAACCATCTTGGGTGCAATAAGCTCCTGGAGAGTCCAGCCGCGGGTGAACCACCGGCAGGCCTTCAAGTTCTCATAAAAAGTATATGAGTGGGCAGTGTCGTGCATGTCGGCGAGATAGACAAAGCAGATTCTCGAGGACTGGTACCATTGGAACATGGAGTTGATAGCCTCGGAGAGTTCGGCACTCGACGTCTTGTCGATGCAGCAGGTGTCGACCCATGCATAGTGTAGGCCTAGGAGACTGGCCAGTCGGCACGTCTCAAAAATCTTGCGAAATCCTTCCCTCTTTTTGCTCCAAACGGCCTCATCGGAATTTTTGAATTCCTGAAAGGAAACTTCCTCAGTGCCCCAGGTGTGGGAGAGCACGGCATATGGAACGTCGGGGTTGAAGTGCTCCTCCAGCTTGAGAGTATTGACGTTGATGAGCCACATGAGTGCCGTGATCTTGAGACGCAGAACGGGTAGAAGATGATGGTGTCAAATGAGACACAGAGCACAGAAAGTGGGCCCGCCTTCCGTTGCTCGACGACTGATGCCGAATACGTGTAGGAAGAAGACGATGAGTGGGAGGGGAGGGGATAGGATCGTGATAGCCCTACATCGTTTTCGAGTTGAGAACGGAATGTGGAAACCAACATTGGAAAGACGGCTGGCGAATAGCAATCATACCTAAGGTAGTAAGCAGGTATTAGCTGGGTCGTCTTGTAATGTTCTAGTGTAGAGGAAGGTGCATGAGGATGGAGGCAGCAGACCCACGAAGCGATGCAGGTCAGTAGGGCATAAGCACAGCCTGCCTCTGGATGACCGTAGTAGGAGGCATCTTGGACAACTTCGCGATGAGAAAATCCTGTTCATATCCACTTGGTAAAGACAATATATCAACATGATCTCGATGGTTATCCATGACGGAGACGACACAAACCAAACTGACGAGAGGTGTAGGTACTTATGGTAAGTACCTCAAGCCCAGCCAGCTGGTGTTCCCGTTCCCCCACACAAGCCCGCCTGTGACGGCGCCAGAACGTGCGCTCGAGGGAACGCACGGCCACTGCCCAAAAGCTTAGGCCGGGGTGTACCGCAGTAATAGCAGGGAGAAGAAGGAGCGTTGAGAAGTCGGCGGCAGGGAAACAGCCGAAGGCACGAAAACGAAAGCACGAACCACTTGCTTGCACCTGGACTTGGGGTTTCCACCATTTTCCCCGTCTGCCATTGCCGTTTCTCAGACACGCAGATTCCAGGAAGAAGCAACCACTTCACAGCAACACCTCTCTCTGACTTTGCCCAGCCAGCCAGTCAGCCAATAGAATCCACACAATCACCCACCGGCTACAACTTGTTGATCTTTCCGAGCCGCGCGCAGCACCTACGGTACGATGGGATGTACATAATATTACCTTACTTTCCAGACCATCTTGAGCTTAATAATTCCACCAGAAAAAGTCCGAGCTTCAGGTGGAACGGCAACTAAGGCACGATGTCGATGTACCCGCCCGTGGTCTGGGTGCCCGCACCGCACCGCGCGCAAACTGCTGCACCAGAAGCACCAAGCACCAAGCACCAAGCACCAGCAGCAGCACCGGCACCAGCACCTCATCCGCACCGCTGTGCATCTGCATCGCATCAGCCCCCTGGTCCCGGCTGAAGCTCTCCCCATCGCGTCTTGTGATTGGCTCCTCCCGAGGACGTCCTCTTCAACCTCCTGTTTACCTCTCAACTTCCCTCTACTCCCGTAACCCCCTCCCATTTCGTTGCAATTTCACCAGAGTTGTCCATCGCATCTGGGTCGCATCATCAGCGCATCACAAACCCCCGAGTCGCACATCACGAGCGATTCTCCGTGTATCCTTGCGGCAAGCATCCGCCCATCCCATATCATCTGTAGAACAGACGCAAGACGCAATGCCCGTCGAGCTCCGCAAGCGCAAGGCCCCCGAGCCCGCTCCGGCTCCTGCCCCCAAGAAGGCCTCATCCAAGGTCGCGAAGGCCGCTGGCAAGGTCAAGGAGGCTGTCAAGGGAAAGCCCGCCAAGCCTGCCGCCGAAGAGCCCGAGAAGCCCGCCGAGAAGCCCGTCGCTGCCAATGGCTCCGACAAGAAGGTCAAGGCGACCAAGGGCGAGACAATCAACCTCGACGGCTTCGGCGGCGAGATCGAGGACAACGACGGCGAAAAGACTACTCTGAAGGAGCTCGTCGACAAGAGCAAGGCCGGAGTTGTCCTCTTTACCTACCCCAAGGCCTCGACCCCCGGCTGTGAGTATCCGACACTTGATGTCTGCTCGGTACTACCGCATTGGGCCCGATCAACGTGCTAATACAGACGTAATATTCAGGCACTACGCAAGCCTGTCTCTTCAGGGACTCCTACGAGCCGCTCACCAAGACGGGCCTGGCCATCTACGGCCTGTCCACGGACTCGCCCAAGGCCAATACCACTTTCAAGACGAAGCAGAAGCTGCCTTACCCGTTGCTCTGCGACCCCAAGGCCACCCTCATCGGAGCCATTGGCTTCAAGAAGCACCCCAAGGGCACCCAACGTGGTGTCTTCGTCGTCGACAAGTCCGGTAAGGTCCTCGCCGCTGAGCCCGGTGGCCCGGCTGCCACCGTCGAAGTCGTCAAGGCGCTCGTCGAGGAGGGCGGCGCCGATGCTGAGCCTGCTGCCGAGACCGCTGCCGCCGATGCTAAGGAGGAGCCGGCCAACGGAGATGCCAAGGACGACGAGAAGGAGGATGCCGCTGATGAGGCCGAGAAGAAGGATGAGAAGAAGGACGAGTAATTATAGGACTGCACTGTAAGTATAATCTTGTGCTGGGAAATCGGGCTTTTCAGCCGAAAAGACGGGGAATGGATATGGGACGATATTTTGTGTGTTTTTGCAAGGTAGTTGGGAATTGATTTGACTGGCGTTGGTCTTGTGCCTTTCCAAATGCACCTTGTCCGCTTCGCCTCAGCCTCAGTATCGCCATCAAGGTTTGGCGATGCACGCCGAACGCCAAAAATGCCATTGAACCACCCCCGGAAATTCCAGCGTTGCAGTTTCGCAGAAGAGGTGAAGTGGATACTGCTCTGAAAGTCGGGTTGCAAATTGAAGCACGGCTATTGCTTCGACCGGCTAAACCCCGGCTACCCGGCCCTGCCAGAAACTGGAGCCCGCTCTCGACTCGGGTGCCGGATCACATCCAACATTCAAGCTCGCCCATCAACGACCGACCGAAAACTCCCCTCCCCTCTCACCCCACGACGTCGCCAATATGGCCTCCAAGGCAGTTGCGAAGGCTGCGACAGCTGCGGCAGGCGGAGTTGTGGAGATCTCCAAGGTACGACCACCCACGCGGCCTCAATTGGCCATCTAGCGACGAAGCTACGCAAACCACCATCCTCCACATCGCCAACCCTCCTCCTCCTCTCCCGACAGACGACGCAATTGGCGCTCCCCGTAACCACGATCCAGTAGCTGACATCACCGTCCCCTCGCAGAAACACACCCTCCAGTCCACCGGCATCTGGGAACGCATCCGCCGCTCCCTCTCCATCGACCCCAACCGCTCCACCGGCGTGCCCTTGAACCCGACCTTCCGCAACCCGGCGCCCGGCGCCCGCGACCCCCTCACCTACGACGACCCCGTCACCGTCCCCGCGGGCGACATCGCCGACAACCCGTACTGGAAGCGCGACGCCCGCCGCAACTACCCGGCCCTGAGCGTCGTCAACCAGGCCGACGTCGTCAGCCTGCTGTCCGTCGGCTCCGCCGCGAACCCCCGCGTCGAGCTCATCGGCGAGGCCGGCGAGAAGGCCCTCGTCGCCGCACAGGCGGAGGCCAAGGCCTCGGGCCTGGCGCCCTACCTCGAGAAGAACGCCGCCCGGGCCGTCGAGGCGAGCAAGGAGACGCTCTTCACCAACGGGCTTCCCCCCACGCCCAGCGGACACGACTTGAAGAGCGGGAAGTGGGATGTGCACAAGTACAAGGTCAACGAGGACCAGTCTTACGGCGACGGGTGAGTTTTTCTTGTCTCTGTGGGTGACGTGTGGGTGCGTGTGTGGTTTGCTAACGGAGTGGATAGTTACCCCTGCAGGACGTTCTCTTGAGCGGTTTGGGACGATGGTTTTCTGTATGAGGGGCGGCTGTAGATATGAAGAACACTAGATTTCATTAAACGTTTTCTCAAGCTTCCAAGTCCGTTCAAGAGCTTCTCGCAGCCTCGCAGTGCTACTTCATTTGGGTATCTCAGCACCCTCTAACCATCCCATGCAACCAAAGAGCCCATGCATTCAACAAACGCCGCCCATGCCATAACCAGAAAACGCCTTTCAAACCTCCTTCGCCTCCGCCTTGGCCCCCTCAGCCGCCTCCTTGGAAGTAGACGTCTCCCCCGTCATCCTCTCCACGATCTTGACCTTGCCCTGGGCCCTCTTGAACCTGTCGTCAAAGTCGTTGACCGCGTCGTCGTTGTTCTCCTTGGCCAGCGTGTCGGGCTCGACGAGCGCGAAAGCCGCGGTGACGTTCTTCTCGAGCCTGGCGTTGGGCGCGAGGGGCGGCAGGGAGCACGTCTTGAGCTGCTGCTGGTCTGCGGGTACGGCATTGGTCTTTTGCGGGAGCGAGAGCCTGTTGGCCCAGACGACGGCGCGGCCGTGGACGCGGCCGCTCTCGAGGAACTTCTCGTAGCCCTTGGCGAGGCCGACGGAGCGGCCCTCGATCTTGCCGGCGAGGATGCCGTCTTCGGTGCCCTGGCGGTAGCCCTCGGTGAAGAATTGCTCCTCGAGGTTGAGGACGTCGTCGAAGGGGTCCGAGTCCATGACTGTTTTGTTTTGGATTTATGAGTAGAAGGTTGTTGAGAACAAGATTTGAGGAGAGATATTGTGAGTTATGTTGTGCTGAATGTTGCTGTGCTGAGGCCGAATGGTGGTGAAGTTGATGGAGGGGCGATTTCAAATGTTAGCGGGGCAAATTTTGAGTGAGTTTGACTCAGCGACTTTTTTTGCCCGTCAGTTTTTCAACTTCACCACACCACAGCATGGACTACACAAAACGTCGATTACCCCCAAATCATTGGAGAATCTCATTGGTTATGCTGCAGATCGCTCCATGAATAGATTGTCCTCGTTCTGGTGTCGAGAGTCGAGTTCTGCGCTTCCCACACCAAGCAGTACTTTGGTGAAGCCACGGCTGGGATCAACACCCTACTTCAGTTGCAACCAGAACCTCGAGTTCATGAAGTCATTAAGCGCTTTCCGATGAGAAACAACTCTTTTCACGATATGCTGGTTCTGTTCCTCAAATGAGAAGTCTGGAGAACAACTCTGACTGTACAAAGTTGTCACGTTCAGGGTCGTCAGCAACCGCAATGGCTCTACATGTTGGGCCAGTAGGACGGCTTCGTTATGGAACGACATGCAAGGCGATCGGAAGAGGGATTACATGCAGAAGATCAAGGCAACAGCCGCAGCCAAGTGGTTGAACACGTGAGCGGCTGTGTTGAGCCAATGGACTTCACGGTCGAAGCGCCAGCCTGATTTCGACAGATATGAGCACGAATAGGCTGACGTCGATGAAATCTTCACCTTTCTACATCATCACCCCAGCACCTGCGCCAGAAGTATCTGACCGCAACGAACACTCGCCAATCCAAACATGGCTCGCCGACCCTCTCGGCGCGAGGATTTTGAAATCGCCATCGTCTGTACCCTGCCCCTCGAGTTCGACGCCGTCGCTCTTACATTCGACGAGATATGGGATGAGAAAAACTGGAGAAAGCCCCAGGAGACAACAACACTTACACTCTCGGTCGCATTGGAAAGCACAATGCTATTCTACTTCGCCTCAAAAGCTTAAATCATTACGACAAATCAAACGCAGCAAAAGGCTTGCTCCTGAGTTTCACCAGAATCAATTTCATCGTTCTGACTGGCATTTGTGGTGGACTGCCAAGAGCTGGCACTGATTCTGAAATTCTACTCGGGGATGTGATCATCAGCAAGGATGTTGCGATGCTCGATTTTGCCGGGCTTTTCTCAGCACTTCTTGCTGAAAATGTCCATTGGAAGCCAAATCGGAAAATTCGTTCTGCTCTAGCGACTCTGGAAACACATCATGGTCGCAGAAGCCTGCAGCAACGAGCCGGTCAGATCCTACATCAGGTTCAACTTGAGGCTCGCCAAAGAGATCAAACCCTTAGCAGGCCTCCATCACAAGAGGATCGTCTTTTCGAGTCCGAATACCTTCACATACATCGGGATGCCCATGACTGCACTTGCAGCACAAACCACACCTGCGAAGAGGCAAGAAGGGCCTCATGCGATGAGCTCCACTGTGAACCAGCCCGTCTAGTGCCAAGAAAACGCCTGTTAAAAGAGGACCAAAAAGATGTTGTACAAGCATCAGAATTTCAAGTGTTCTGTGGACGTGTGGGATTGTCTGATTTTGTATTCAAGTCAGGCTCGGTACGTGACAAGGCGGCGAAAGAGCATGATCTCATTGCTTTTGATACGATTGAGATGGGGATATTGAACGAGCTTCCTTATGTCCTTGTCAAGGGTGTTTGTGACTACGCCGACGGGCACTGGAATAAGACTTGGCAGCGGTATGCAGCTGCCACTGCGGCTTCAACGACAGCGGCACTGTTGGATCTATTTGTAAAGACGGGAAAACCAACAGCTCTCTCAACAGGTAGGCTTTCTGTAACAATTTTCATCTTCATTCTAATGGTTTTAGAAATGGCCGTTTCGAGCCCAGATCCGGACTTCATGCGTCGGCCTGAAAAGGATGAATCTTTCCCATCCATGCCACACACAGACGATTTCCTGATATCGAATCAGGAAGAAATGGACATGAAGCACGAAATGGATCCCGCCCAGAATGAAGTTATCAATGGGTCTCACAATGGCCTCAAGCTCCTGCCCCGCTCCAAAACGCAGGTCCTTGATCAAGTCAGACGGCTCTTGGGACACGTGCAAGGGCAACAGCAGGTTTCTAAACCGCATTCACAGGTGGCACTTTATGGCGAACCTGATACAGGGTAATGTGCATACTAAGAAGTCCACTTACAGGAACTAACGAGAGATAGGAAAACCGAGATTGCGCGCAACTACGCCGACTGGTTGCAAACTGCATGCCCCGATGTAAAGATATTTTGGGTGTCTGCGAGCGACGATGTGCTGTATAGAAACTCATATCGGTCTATTGCGAAACAATTCGGTATCCCCGGATATGACAATCCGACAGCCGACATCTCTGCGCTCGTGAACTCTTGGCTGGCAACGGAGTTTCGAGAGCCGTGGCTCTTGATCGTTGACGACGTCAACGATACGCAGATGTCATTTCCGGACTCCAACGGATCGATCCTAATCACCACGAGACAGAAGTACATTGCGTCATGGTATGTACCCGGGCGGCAACTTATTGAGGTCACCGAAGTAAGCGAGAGCGAACCGTACAAGATACTCCGCCCGCCACTAAACGTTCCATACTTCGACCGCGATTTCTTGGGAGCCATAGTAGACCGTATGATGCGATCACAACGGATCATCGCCCAGAAAAATGAAGAAACATTGAGACTTTTGAATAAGACTAACCAATCTGCAGAGCCCACAAGCAGTTTTCCTGCTGCGTCACTGGCAAATGCAGGGTCATCTGACATGGAGAGTGACGACAGCTCTGTCACAGATATCGAGGTTTTCGGCGAACAGCCTGCTTCTACAAAGCTATCGTTACCAGGCAACAATATGTACAGCCTCAAACACGCTGTTACAAGGAAGCCCAAAGACAAAGCATGGTGCCGCCACCGACAGCACCGACCAGCCGAATCTGTCTCCCTTGACGGGGATGAAACACAGTCCCTTGTCTCCGACCTTGTCTCCGATATGGACAGCTTCGCTACGGGCAGCCAGATTTTCAGCGAAAACCCGGCTTCTACCAAGCTGTCGTCACAAGACGAGGAGGTGGATATGCTCAAAGAAGCCAATCACGCGAAGCCTAAAGCCGAGAACTTCTACAGTCACCTAGCAGACAACTTTGATGAGAAGGAGGAAATAAAATCCCTTATCTCTGGCTACGAAGACATCCAATCGCAAGATGGATCAAGGTCGGTTCGCTGGGAGGTCCGAGATGCTGCGGTCAGTTATATAGCCGAGATGTTGGCCAACGACCCATTCTTAGAACCATTGTACAAGAACGCGGCACAGCGACTGGAGGGCAAACGCTTTGTCAGGAACCACTGTCGCTTGCTCAAGAGCTACTATCTATCGCTACGTTCTCAGGCCTCGAATCAGAAACAAGGTGTAGCGATCGAGTTCCTCAGACCGCGCGCTCACAGAACGCTCATTTCGATCAAGATTCGGGAGAACATGGAGTTTCAAGATATGAGAAGAAAAGAGGTCCACGTTGAATTACCTCAAGATGAAGGGCGGGACCTGACTCTGGAGCGTTACCTGAGTAACGTGGGAGCTAGCTCGAAAAGTCATACAGACGACACCATGCAAGCGATACGGGAAGCTGATGAAGGGAGAAAAGACAATCGGACGACAGAGGAACAGAGCGAAGATGCAAAGAGCGAAGATGCAAAGAGAGAAGACGCAAAGAGAGAAGACGCAAAGAGAGAAGACGCAAAGAGAGAAGACGCAAAGAGAGAAGACGTAAAGAGCGAAGATATAAAGAGCGAAGAGAGCAAAGATGAATACAGCCAATATGAAGAGGCTGAAGAGCAGAGCGAAGACGGTTGGGAGGGAAAAGAGGAGGGTTACGACACTGGTGCTAGCCTAATCAGTCTGGGAGAGACCAGAAGCTTCTTTGTGTCTGGGCAACCATTAGTCGACTTCAGAGCCAACTTTCAAGACTTCCTCTACCCAAAGTCTGAGGCAGCAGAGGGGACGCAGCCGAAGAAAACGCAGCCGAAACGGTCTCATGTGGTTTCTCGAGGGGCCAGGCTTCTTGCTAGGCTTTTCGACGTGTGGTCACCCCCGAAAGATGGCTGCGAAAGAGTGAGGTACATGTGTGTAAGTGGCTAATTGCCGTAGCTTCAAATCGTATGGTTCAATTACTGACTTTCGACAGGACTGTGGCGACTACACGTTCTTGGATGTTAGAGAGATAAGTCCTGGAGGACTGCAGCGCTTCAGACAGCGACTTGCCAGTCACGGTCTGTCAAACATCATCGCCGCTTCTGCCCCATCAGAGTTCCCGGACGGCCTGTCACCCCCTCCATCGGCATATCTGGGGACCGCTAGAAGCCGCTCCGTCACGTCGCAGAACTCTGGACTAACTTCCTCGCGCAGATCGAGCCTGTCAACGCAGCCAACATCCTTGTCGTGGTCTGAGGACGAGGCACCTCCAGAAGACGAGCAAACGATCCCGCAGTATCTGCTACTGTGTGTTAACCAGAAGAGTCTTCCGGAGCTGATCCACATTAACTGTCGACCTTTCCATAACGACCAGTATCTCTGCCAACAAATCTTGAAAGAATATCAGATAACGAGAGACAAGTCGACCTGGAGACCTTCGCTCCTAGTGCACGCGAAGCTTCTGGCAGTGCTAAGCGGCGTATCGTCGTTTTTGGAAAAGAAGACTCCTCACTGCTTGGAATGGATCTTTCGATTTTCTCGATCTGTATCTGAAATCAGCTTCTTCCAGATGGATACCGGCGATTTCGTCCGGGTGAGTTCCTCTCTATAATTTTGGCGTCTAGAACTTTTTAGTTAACACAACACAAGTTTCAACTTGTCCCAGTCGGGGAACTAACTGTGCCGAATCACTTCAAGTGCGCGGAGTACCCACCAGAGTCTGAAGTGAAGGCGGGAAACTACGAATACGAGCCCGTACCGATGATTGACGTTGCCATTGCTTCGATTCCGCTGTGGCACCTTACACGACCAGTTCAACACAGCGATATGTACTGGATCAAAACATTCCCAAAGAAGATGCGGTATCCGTTGCGCCGTGAACCGGGCGTGTACGGGAAACCTATTATCGGCTGGGGTATACGAGTCAATGAGGCTTTTCACTGGAAGCATTTTCTTTTTCTTATCCTGGCGGTATCGATCGGCATCAGCATTATTGTGGCCATCTATGTCGGAGTTACGTCGGATGCTTCGTCTGCTTTTGGGTTGGGGGCGTTTTTGGCGGCGCTTGTTGCGATTTATATACCCCATCAGTATTTCGCGTGGAAAGAGAAGCTCAATTAGTTCTGTTAGTCGATTTCATAGGAGCTGGGTACAACCGGAGCAATGTTAGTTCGCATCTCAAGGCAACATCTGGGCTTGGAGAGAGCATCTGGATGGTAAGATGAAATGTCTAATTGGGAATCAATTCTAAGTCTATTTCGTAACCGCAAAAACCCGCGCCCCTTCATATATCATCACTCACCCCATCTACTGCATGCCGAAGAACATGCCGCCGTTGGCACACACAACCTGGCCGGTACACCACGCCGACTCCGCGGAGACAAGCATGCCCACAATACCAGCAATCTCGCCAACATACGCAGGACGACCACCAGCCTCCTCGGCCTCGGCCACAAGCTCGTCCGAGTCAATACCCTTCCTCGCGCGCATCAGCGGCGCGTGCTCGATGAAGCCCTTGATGAAGCGCTTGAACTCGGGCGTGTTACCCGCGTACATCTCCGTCAGGACGGGTCCCGGGTTGACGGCGTTGACGGTGGCGTTCTCGCTGAGCTCGCGGGCCCAGGTGCGGGTCATGGCTTCGAGCGCGGCCTTGGTGCCGCCGTAGACGCTCTGCTCGGGGAAGCCGGCCGAGGAGGAGACGGAGGACATGTTGACAATGCGGCCGCTGCGGTCCTGCGGGAGGTAGGGCTGGAGGGCCTGGACGAGGAGGAGGGGCCCGAGGACGTTGACGCGGTAGGAGACGTCGAACTGGTCGACGGTGATGGAGGGGAGCAGGTTGTTCTGGGCGACGCCGGCGTTGTTGATGAGGATGTCGACTTGGAACTTGCCGTCCTTTTGGAAGTGGGCTTTGGACGTCTCGACGAGGGAGCGGGGGCCGGTGGGGGTTCCCATGTCGGCCTGGACGGCGAGGACCTGGATGTTGTGCTTGGTCTGGAGCTCGCTGGCTATTTGTTCGGCGGGGGCCTTGGAGGAGGCGGATGTGTAGCCCAAGATGAGGTTGCAGCCCTTGGAGGCGAGGTTTTCGGCAATGGCGACGCCGATGCCTGAGTTTTGTTAGTCGGGACTTCCAAGAGTCGGCGGTGATGAGGGAGTACTCACCTCGAGAGGCGCCGGTGACGATGCCGAGCTTTCCTTCCAGGGAACGAGACATTGCTATAATATTGGACGGGTATTTCCTTCAAGTATTTCGTAAGATCAATGGATCACCAAATGATTGCAATATGAGAGAAGAGAAGAAGAAGAGAAACGGAGAAGGATGGTTAGCAGATCACGACACAAGCGGACGGGGACGACAGGGTAGCTCTTATAGCAACGCCAAAGCCCCAGCTTACCCAGCCCAAGAACTGGAACCCTGGGAAAACACAATCTCCTAAATCGGCAATGCTAGCAGTTCTCGTGACTTGCTTGGCCTGGAGGTGAACAGAGCTGACCGCCCAATGGAACGCGTCGTCGTGGCAGGAAAGATCCTGGTGCGGCGTGTCCCTCGAGACAAGCTCCTGCGCGGGAAGCTACCCCGCTGTCGCAAAAAGCTGGCCCTAGCCCGGCGCCCGGGGATCGTGACGGGGGGAAGTGCTGGAGCTTGCCCCGCGGCGCGGTGGGCCAGAACCCGCTAGGACGGCGCTGCGATGGGAGGACCCCCACGTCATTCTCCCGCGCCAATCCTGTGCCAGGGCTTGATGCGCTGAGAGGCTCTGTACGACCAGCACAGAGGGCTGAGGAGGATCGTGAGAGGGCAGGATATGGAACGGTGAGACATTCATTGACATGTAACTCATCATGAATACGAATGAGGAGTTTGATGGCTCGCACGGCTTAGAGCATGTTCACTCATTGGTTTGGGTGAGCGATGCCGTCTCTCCTTTCACCATAGAAAGCAATTCACTGCTTTTCTATGTTTACGAATAAGCTTAGAATATTGAGAAGTGTTTGAGTGCCTAAGAAAAGTTGCAATTGCAACCGTTGTAAAGCCTCAATTGCCAATGCTGAAGCTCACAATCGGCGCTAAAAATTGCCGGAACAGTAGACACCGAGACAAGATAAGCGGTAAAGCTTATACAAGTCTAGAATATCCACGACGATAAACGGACCGAAATTGAGACAACTGCAAGTAACGGAGTCAGTTGAACATAAAAAGTTACCTTCACCAAAGGGCGCTCAATCGCAATTGGCGGGGTACTGAGCGACACTCGGAGCCTGGGCTGGATGTAGTGGGGTCGCCAGCAGCAGCAGCAGCCAAACGACACTGGACCAGGGTCATTCTAAAAGTTCACCTCCTCACCACCACCAATTCCCAATCCACACACCACACCACGCGCAACCCATCCCACCTCAGCCTCGCGCGCAAACAGCTAACCACACACCGGACCACGATAAGTCCAAGTTAGCCACACACGAACCTCCGTCACCGCGTCGAACCTTTCTCCCCCTCCGAACCGCCCGAGAGCGAAGAAAAAAAAAAAACCGCCCACCATGGATATCCGCCTCCTCAAGTCCTCTGACCTCCCCCTCATACAACACGCCAACCTCGAGAACCTGCCCGAGAACTACTTCCTCAAGTACTACCTCTACCACGCCCTCTCGTGGCCCCAGCTCAGCTATGTCGCCGTCGACGTCTCCCGCCCCAAGCGCACCCCCTACGACTACCCCAAGATCGTCGGCTACGTCCTGGCCAAGATGGAGGAGGAGCCCACCGACGGCATCGCCCACGGCCACATCACCTCCCTGAGTGTCATGCGCACCCACCGCCGCCTGGGTATCGCCGAGAAGCTGATGCGTCAAAGTCGTACGTCTCCTTCCGGTCCCTCCTCCACACCCACCATCCCACCTCCTCTCTCGAACAATATTCGCTGACAGCACCATTGCAGAACTCGCCATGGTCGAGACCTTCGGCGCCCAATACGTCTCCCTCCACGTCCGCGTCTCCAACAACGCCGCCATCCACCTCTACCGCGACACCCTCGGCTTCAAGAACGAAAAGGTCGAGAACAAGTACTACGCCGACGGCGAGGACGCCTACTGCATGAAGCTCGACCTGAGCTACATCCGCGAGCAGATCCAGGACGAGCGCGACCGCGAACGCGAGGCCGACGGCGAGGCGGGCGCCGCCGCCTCCGAGGCTGCCGCCGACGAGGGCGAGGCTGTCGGCGACGTCGGCCGCGACCCCAACGCCGACAAGGACAAGAAGCGCAAGGTCAAGGTCGGCCGCGGGCTCGGCGTCGGCGAGCTCGTCGAGAAGAACGAGAGCAGCAAGAACTAGGGGTACTGCTTGTTCCGGAGATTCTCTGATGCGCGGCACCGCCAGGAGGCTGCAGATGAAAAGTAGACGGGGACGGGGAGGATGTCATGCGCTCTTGGAAGCGTGCCCTCATCGGGCTGCGAGAGCTCGGTATTTTTGACAGCTGTCAGCTGGTATTGGTCCAATGGCAGTTGTCTGCCGTACGAAGTGTCGAAAAAAGTCGAAGGAGCAACCAAAAGTGACTCGAAAAGAGGGCTACGGAGGCGCGAGGTCGGACGTCCTCACTTGGTGCCATGGATTTGACGATTACGATAGGATACGGCGCATCATAGCACGGCGACCAAAAAAAGAAATAGACGAGGCACGGTGATTTCAAAACCCATGGAAGTAATCCTTCTCTCCCATCTACTCTTGTACATTATTCATACGTAAGCCACCTAACTTACGGCCTGGCTGAGCGTTCTGTGCATCACCACCCCCCGTTGGCCTTCCTTTCCTCCTCCGCCACAAGCTCCCTGGCATACTCGGCGTCCGCCTCGACTCTGAGCTTCTCCACGTTCCTGGATATCTCGTCAATCTCCTCAACAAGCCGCTGCGCAGCCTGCTCGCCGCTCGAGCTCTCGCCCCTGGCCCAGCGGCCCCATCCACGACCGCCGCCGCATCTCCCTCTACCCCTACCGGAGGTGTTTTCCAGCTCTTCCGTCGTCTGAGCGAGACGAACCTTATCTAGCTCTTCTACCTTTTGCGCAATGTCCTTTTCCATCTCTTTTATAGCCGTGTTGAGTGATTCAGATGAAGGCGTACGTGGCGAGGCGGGGGACGTCGGGTCGACACCTCGTTCGCCGGCAGGCCACGCACCAGGGAAACCACCATGGAAGGGTTCTCCACGACCCTGACCGGTCCATCCCCGTCCAAAGCCGCCCGCCCAGGGATGAGCTCCCGGGAATCCTCCGCTGAAGCCCCTTCCGCCACCCGGAGCGCCCCAGTTGAAGCTGTTCGGGCCGTTCATGTTCGGGACGGGCGGGACGTTGTGGATATGGGGAATGGGAGGCGTGTGCATCACCGGCGGTTGAGGAGGCGTGATGTGCGGCGGCCCCGGAGGCGTGTGAAACACGGGAGGCGGAGGTACATGAGGATGTACCCCCGGAGGCGGGAACGGCGGGGGCGCGCCCCAGGTCGTGACCTGTTGGTGATGATGACCGCCTCTGCCGCCGCCGCCACTCCGTCTGCCCTCTCTCCTCTGCTCCCTGTGTTCTCTCCTCTGTTCTCTGCGCTCCCTTTTCTGCTCTCTGCGTTCCCTCTTCTCCTCGCGCCTCTTCGCGCGCCGCTCACGACGCTTCTCCTTGCGAACGGAGCGCTGTTGGCGTTTGAGTTTGCGCCAGTCTTGCATGAGGGCTTTGATCTCCGCCTTGAGAGCTTTCTCGTCGATCGGAGGCGCGGCTGAAGATGAAGAAGAAGCGGCAGTTGGGTCTCGCGCTTGTTCCCGGGCGGCTGATTTCGCGGAACGGATTTCAGAACGCAGTTGAGCGACGTCGGCTTTGGTGACTGGCTGGTCTGGATGCGAGAGCCAGCCTATCACGCGCTGTTTGTATACTGGTAGCTGTGTCGGGTACAGGTCTTCGTAGTCGGGCAGGGAGCCGATAGAGGACGTTGAATCGCTGGAGTCGGTCGACGAGGCGGAGGACGAGGAGGATGAGGATGAGGAGCGGTGGTCGGAGGGGTATCTCCCGTGCGGGCGGCCGCGACCGCGACCACGACCGCGATCGTGGCCATGAGCCCCGCCTCGGTGACCGTGGAAGAGAGGATGGTCTGGCGGAGGTCCCAGTGGTGGAGCATGCGGTACCGGTGGAAACGGTCCGGGCCCGGGTCCGAATATTGGTACGGGGCCCGGGGGTGGATGCCACGGCTGACCTGCGTAAGGTTGTCCGCGGGGCGTAGCGACGTTGCTATCGTTGCTGCTGTTCCCGAACCTGACGCCTCTCTCGTCCACGATGAAGTTACCCATCCTGACGCCATTGACATCGGCCACGAATCGGTCACCGATCGAGATGCCGTCCTCGTCGATCCTGATCCCGGCGAAATTCCAGCCTCGCGATGCGGAGGGCGGAGGCTGCGGCACAGGTCCCTGATGGGGATGTGCAGAGAACGGCGTTGGACCTCCCGGCCCAGCTGAGGCGGGACTCTCGACGTTCCGATCGAAAGATTGATCCCACGCGCCGGGCATCCGCAGTTGCTCTACCTCGGGGGCGAGTTTGACGAGCATACCCCGCGGGCGGAAGAAGCCCTCGTTCCATTGTGCGACGACGCCTTCCGCGTCTTCTCTCCTCAGACCTCCCCCTCCACTCGCAGCGGCCGCGCTGGGGTCGGTTTCCGGGTCGGTGCGGATCTGGTCTAGTTGTGCGGACGCATGGCTGCTGCTGTTCGTCGTACTCTGCCCGCTGACGCTGTTCCCGCTGGAGGCTGCGGCGGCCGCAGCGAGGGCTTCCTCTTCGGCCTGCAGCTTGCGGTTGATGACGGCTTCGTTGCGGGCGGCAGCGTGGTGGGGAATCAGGACATTGATGAAGGTCGCCCAGTCCTGCTGGGTGACATCGCGTGCGGCCCAGGTTGGGGTGTAAGGGACGTCATTTGGCGTGGTGGCAGATGTGACGGCGATTGTATGGACGAGTTGTTCGCGCGGGGAGAGGGTTGATGGCGGAGGGCGGGACTCGAAATAGGCAGCTGCAAAGTCCGCGTACGCCGTAGGAACTGTAGACGGTGCGTTGTTTGCAATGCTGGCGCTGGAGGTCGAGTCGTGGTGAGCGTGTGGTTGAGTGCTGCCGGTGGTGCGGGGCGTCAGCGGCGGGGTGTAGATGACTTCGCTGTGAGACGAAGCGTGAGACGAGACTCTGGATGCGGCATCGTCGGATGGGACGCGTGGTGAGTTCGACGCGTTGTTGGAGGAGCTGGCAGTGCGACCAGCGGTTGAGTAAATGTCGGTCTCGGAGTAGGGCGGAGGTGGGACGTCGTCGATGTCCGGGTCTGCTTGTCGCATGGCCATTCGCGATGACGTTTTGGTGGTGGTGGTGGGGTTGTAATTGCTGTGATGAGAGCTTGGTGAAGCTATGACTCGCAGATGGGACGGAATTTCGCCTGGTGATTATCGGTCTGATTGTCAGTAGTCAGTGCAAAAAGATTGAATGAAAAGATGGTGAAAAATCGGCGAGGGCTGGTAGGACAAGAAAAGATCAAGAAATCACCGGCACATCGGCAAGGTGGTGGGATCATATGGCATTTTTGACGAGCTGGGCTGGCTGGGCTATGGCTATGGGCTAAACTCCGTTGACTCAATCCTCCACGTCGTCCTGCTTCCAATATTCGTCCATCCCAAGCCCCCCCATGCTTTCCCGCTCGGCCTAGCGAACCTTACTGGACAAGGACATCATAGCAGCTGCCTTTCAGGTCCCCCCGTTCGCGTAGCCTTACGACGTCCAACGAATTCTCAAACCGCGAACCACCGTTCATCACTGACAACCAGTGAAGGAGGGGACCCCGCCTCTCGGGAGCCAAAGCGGCGCGGCCGAGCCCATGCCAGGTAAAGATAAGCATCAAGCTTGGTTATGGGACACCCCTGCCCTTGACAGGCGCAGCTGTACCTTATTCCCAGTAAAAACTACCTTGCGAAGAGGACGCGTTGTTCGCAAAAAAGCCAGAAGAAGATGTCACCGCCCAATTGTGTTTTCACCTCGAAGCCCCAGTTTCGAGAAGCCTCGCTGCATGCTGCTGACGCGGCCCCCCTGCGGACGGGAAAGGCAGCAGCCCATCCTTCCAAGCCCACTCACTCGGTATGACTGAACAGCCAAAGTGGCCTTGCACACAACGATCAAGCCCCAAACCCCAGCCAATGCCCCTCCTCTCCAGTGGGTCTTCCACGCCGTTGGAACGCCGACCTTTTAACTGTAATGCTCCGACCCAACGCCGTGCTGCCGAACCAACCGGCCCTAGCCCTAGAACGGCCAGAGGGCTACCATACGCAGCAGTGATATGCCCAAACCGATGATTAGCGTATTGTACAGAGCCAGGTTATGCATGCCACGCCTGTTCATGTTGATGACTGGTCAGGTTCCCAAAAGTTTCTTCGGTTTCGTCTTTGGGCCACGAATCACTACCAGGGCCGCGGACACCGCTGTCGCGTCCCGGCAGGATTAGGTGCAAGGCGTTCTTGCGATTACGGGCGTGTCCGATATCATCGGTCAGCCTCAGTGCTCCAGAGATGGAAGTCGACATCTTCCGGCTTGTAATGATCTGCGATGATAGTAGACAGATGGTTACGAGAGTGCGCACCACTGTGGGGATGGTTAGCTGTTTTGCTTCACGCAAGAGCTTGGCTGTCACTTACAGATTGGTGATGTAGGTGTCGAGCAGCTCCGGAGGCACGAACTCGCTGACAGCGCTCCGTACATCGACACCATTCACCATGGCACCGTCCGCGAAGCTCACACGGTTCATGGAGCTGCCCCATTCCACAAGGCTCTCCTCGTCGAAGTAGCTCTCTGGGCAAAGCTTGTAGACACCACTGAGGATAATAACAGGGTTGCCCTGCTCCCTGGCCGCACGCGCGATGACGCCGGCTCCCGCGTCGGTAAGGATGCCTCCGTTTGCCAGGACAGCTCTGGCGCCCAGAATGACTTTGTTGATACGTGGCATGTAGGCCATCATACCGTCGTTCTGAATGCTGATCGAGCTGATGCCTGCCGCACTAAGCTTCTTCCTGAATGATGCGTATGGAACCTCCTTGGAGTCGCGGGCCGGCTCGGACGCAATGAAGACGGTGAACTTTCTTCTGGTGGCGGCGCGCAAGACGAACTTCTGAACGGTAGCCGAGGGCTGATGGACGAGAACGTAGTCTCCGGGGTGGATCTGGACATCAGCGGCCGCGGCAATCTGGTCATCGACTTGGCTGATCTCGTCCTTGAGCTCCTCAATACCCTCGATGACCTCTGACCTGAGAGCGTGAACCTTAGTCGACAGCCCACGCAGAGGGGTCGAAGCGCCGGAGTCCTTGCCAAAAGGCGAACCAGCCATGATTGCGCTGGCATCCGCTGGCGGAGAGGCTTCGAGCAGCGAGAATAGAGACTTGGAGACGTGGAAGGAGCTTGTAGCCGTGAGAGCACCGGGACGGACCGGTCTCGGGCCGCTTGAGATGTAGTCAGACCCTGCATCCTGCTTTGTATAAGTGGAGGGAGGCCACTGGTGCTCGAGTTTGGAGGGATCAGGAACAGCTGTCGTCGGAGTAGTTCCCGCATCGGTAGCCGTCTCGCTTGCGTCTTCGTTTCTGTCCTCGGCCGCCTCATCTCGGATAAGACCTAATACTCGTCTTACAATGTTACCGACCACAAGCTCTTTGGGCTGGGCGGCGATGAGGCGCAATCCGATCTGCTGGACCTTTTCCAGAAGCTGGTCGACGTCGGACCATTTTGACTTTGCGACGACTTGGAGGAGAATATGCGCGGTCGCGACGGCGCAGAGCTCGGAGCCCTGGATCTGTCTTCGCTTCAAGAGACTGCATTCCGAGGGTTAGCCGACGATGGTAAGGCTGGACGAGTATGGTGACGTACGAAATGAGACTGTCAATTGAAGCTTCCAAAGGCTTGCCCTTGAACGATTTGAGATACCGCTCGAGGTCCCCCGCGTTGGGCTTCACGGTAGCCATTTTCGGTATGTGGAAGTCGGGTGGTGGAAAGGGCCGAGGACGGGGAGGAATCGCGGGGCTGTCGCGAGATGCGAGATGGCTAGGGTAGTCCGCCGGAGAGCCGAAGTCGCAGAAGATTGCTCAGAAGGGCGGAAGAAATCTTTGAAATGTTTCAGGGCGCGCAGTACACAAGTCAATGGCCGGTTATCTGGCTTGGCTCAGGTTGGGTGGTGAATTGGAAATTGTGCGCAAACGACTGTGACTCAACATTGAAGCTCGAAAGAGAGGTACAATGGAGACTATCCCTGTCGCACCAAAAAATTCGAGGGGCATCAGCAGCTCCAGTAAATTTGGGCGGCCCTTGGGGCAGCTGGTGTCAGTGGGCGACTCTGACTGGTCGCGCATATGTCGGCCCGACGCAGCCCGTGCTGAGGCCCCGAAGGATTTCCAATCACACCTTCTTGAACCCTCTCCACTGAGAGCAGCCCCTCCATCACTGCAAAATGACGTTGGGGTTTGAAGCAAGCTGCCAGTGATCCTGCCAGTGATGCGTTAGGGTGTTGGCTTGTCCATTTAGATGGCCGATAAATGTCGTCTTTCCGGGGCCAAAAAGGTGCATCCAGAGCAAATCAGACGTAAGTTGAGATACTATGAACATGGAAGATCTCAATTACCGCATAGCTAGAAGCCGTTTAATAGTATGTAGGCGTCCTGGCCATTGGCCATTGATGAATTGAGAAAAAGTAAGAAATCTTACAAACTGTCCATGTTCATGGTATTGAAGTTCCTCCGCGACTCTTCATGACAGCTACCATAGCAAATGTCAGGAATGCTTCTTGAGAGCCAGTTTTAACTAATGAGTTGAGGATGTGTTTAGTCAGAGACCCTTGTGATAAATCCGATTTAAAAACCCTGAGCTGAGGACTCGTGCGACCCAACGAATGACTGAACGGCAAAGGAACACGGATACGAGGCGTGGATCGATACTGCAACTCGATTCTGCGGTTCCCGATTCATACCCTGCTTCTTTTCAATCAAACACCTCAACGACAATGTCAAAAGTGGAGTTTGCTCTTCACATGAAAGAGCACATGTCGACCAGAATTGCTCGGGAATCGGCTGATGGATATGTGCAATCAGATCAGAGACGGTCGCCGAGAACCCTTGAAATTTTATCGAGGGCCAACTCAAAGAAGAAGCCCTGCCCGAGACCTGTACCAACCACTGCCGCAGAAGTGTCCGCAGAGCCAAATTCTGAGTCTAGAAACTCCGGGTCGCCCCGTCGGTTTTATCGACACCTCTGATGAATTACGTCGCCGCTTGGCGGCAGCTGGTCATCCCTGCTGTTTGATGGTTTGCTGACCCCAAAAATCGATACGGAGTCCACTCAATCACCGACCGGGAGAGCAAATGGCAGTCTCCCAAAAAGGACGCCGGATTCGCGGCGACTCGACACGTGAACCTCCAGCAGGGCCATCTCTTCATTCCAGTGTGATCCCCCACAAGGGAAAGGGCCAGGGTCAAGAAGCAGTGTAACCCCCGGTAGCAGCACCTGCACCTGCAAAAAGCACCAGCATCAGCATCAGCACAGCACAAGCGGCACCTGGGAAGTGGTCGCTCGAGTACCGTCTCGCCCAAATTTCGCCGGGAGATACTTGTTGCTCGCAAATGATCACCACACCGGCCCAGCCCGACCCAGCAGACTTGCAGAGTGTTGAGAGCTCCTCCATCGCTCATCCCTCCCCCCTTCGCACCTTGCACCCGCTTGCCTACTGCGGCTTCCAGTCAATTATATCCACAGTCTGAAGTCCACAGAACGACCTGACGAAACAGATCGGTCGCTCTTGTCAGTCGTTGACACCTCCAATCAGAAAAAAGTTGCCGTCCATCTCAACCACTACCCCCCGGCCACCTCTACACTGCGAAGTCCCGACAACCCGACAATCCCTCTCTACTTTCTCCCCTCCCACGACCCTAGGTGTCTAAGGTAGTCCAAGTCCAGCACAGCACAGCACGGCAGCAGACAACACTCGACAGGTTTGCGCTGACGGCCACATCGCGGCTTAGCGTTCGTTTAGCACCAGACGAACGAACCTTTTACGCCGGCGCCACCATTTTCGCGCTTCTTTTTCCTACACGTCGTTTGTCCATGGCGAGCTGATTGTTGCTGCTCCTTGGATTTGGGGGGAATTTCCATCTGGCCAACCTACGGCTCGGAACCTTTCAACTCGACCGATTATAGACTCGATTCTCCATCTTCCCAGTATCACTTCGAACAGCGCCCTCGACACGCATACCTTACTTAGACGGACTCGCATTCACTCGCTCGTTATTCCGATTGTTGCGCTGTTCGACCACTTGCAGAAGCGCCCCTTGACCCAACGCGACTGCTCGCTCATCGCATCCTACATCGCGCGGAACGTCTGGAACATTCCTGACCACCAGTACCCCTTTCTTCTGATACTCGAACCATTTCCGCCCTTTCCGACCTCGCATCGAAAACCCCGTCGACCCCCATGCCTCATGGATTGTATATCCTGTCAAAGATGAACTCCCTGAACATCATAACCTCGCGCGTCTCTCCGCCGCCGAGTCCGGTAGCTTCGCGATCCAACTCCCTGGGCTCCCTTGGCCTGACGGTCCAATCCGACGAAGACCGCCAGAACGACGGCGACAGCGCGGAAAACCAGGGCGACGACAACAAAGAAGAAACCTTCCCGCTTGAGAAGTCTGCGTTCGAGAAGCACAATGACGGACACGGCATGGATCTCGCCAGCGAGGCTACGCCACTCATAGGAGAATCGAGAGATTCAGGGTCAAGGTCGACTTCATGGCACAGCCTGCCGCGGCGCGTGGCTGTCAGCTTCATCAATTCCCTGCGCTGGGTTCTGTCTACGCTTATTTCCCCCGGAGTGTACCTTATCGCCTGCCTCTACGACGACTCGGGCGCATTCGCGCCGTTCAGTCAGCTGAAGAAGCTATTCGGCTTCGGCGGAAGCAGCAAGAAATTCGCGGATTTCCCTGAAGCGAGCGCCATGGACGAGAAATCTGGAAGGCAAGGGAGCGCTGGATACGGAGGCGTTGCGTACTCCAGACCAGTCGGGTCGTCAGGGTCATCATCATCAGGTTTATCTTCGGAATCAGAGTCCGACCCGGATCGCAGACGACGAGGTTCCACCAGTCGGCACTCGCGGTCCAAGTCGTCAGCAGAGGAAATTGCACCGGCAAGAAGGTCTATTCGCATCAAGTTGCATAACGACGATCTGCCTCAGCGCAAGCATAGAAAGACGCAGTCTGCTGCCGCTCGTCCTAAGGGGAGTGAATCCGGCGGCTCCGACATATCCGCGCAGCTCAAGTCTCCGACATCTCCAGCTGGCGCATTGACTCGATATCCGAAGACGCCGGCCCCTCCTCGACCCTTGATTCCTCGCCGCCAGCCCTCGTACTTGAACCTCGAACCGACCGACCCCAAATACCAAAAGACTCTTATCTTGGATCTCGACGAAACTCTGATCCACAGCATGTCCAAGGGCGGTCGTATGAGCACTGGGCACATGGTGGAAGTCAGACTCAACCAGACCTACGTTGGTGCCGGAGGCCAGACCTCGATCGGGCCGCAGCATCCAATTCTGTACTGGGTGAACAAACGTCCCCATTGCGATGATTTTCTTAGAAGGGTGAGCTGCCCAAGCCATAGCTGTGAAAGCCGGGTTACTGACAGGGATGCAGATTTGCAAATGGTACAATCTCGTGGTCTTTACAGCATCGGTTCAGGAATACGCGGATCCAGTCATCGATTGGTTAGAGGCAGAACGAAAGTTCTTCTCTGCCCGCTACTACAGACAGCATTGCACTTTTAGACAAGGTGCTTTCATCAAGGATCTCAGTTCGGTCGAGCCTGATCTCAGCAAAGTCATGATATTGGACAACAGTCCATTGAGTTATATGTTTCATCAAGGTATGTGGTTAGCCCCGTGACCGCAGTCATCGTAACTAGTCTAACTCCCAATCTTCCAGACAACGCAATTCCGATCCAAGGCTGGATCAATGACCCGACGGATAACGACCTGCTTCACCTAGTGCCTCTGCTCGAAGGTTTGCAGTATGTGTCGGACGTAAGGGCGCTACTTGCATTGCGGGGAGGCGAGGACGGTCAGCATATGGCGTAAGATTTGGGTTTTGTAGAGGACATAGGTGTACTGGCATGGGAATAGCGAAGCGACCACCAGCGGATTCAACCACGCGGTGTAGCGCTGTATTAATAAGAATTCTGAAGAATGGTCTGAGGGTTCAAGGTGATGTGACGTGTCAAACCCGCGTCTGCAAAGCCATGTTGCTGTTGAGTCGCGACGACCACGTTCAAGAACCCCCCAGAAGTCATCTGGTCTAGCTTCGTGCATCTAGCAACGCTCGTAATCGTGTTTATCCGATCCCGTTCCTGGCTAAAAGCTCCCGGGTGCTGCCGAGATTGACCTCGGATCCCGACGGTCCATAACATGAATGATACAATGAATACGTAGTTTGACGGAAAGACTTGAAAGGTATTAGCCAGCCCGGAGCTTCATTCCAAGGGGGGGGGCACAGTTCGTGGGTCCAGCCATCGTGATTCCGATGGGTCGATACCGCCCTTGGCTGGGATTTGAGCAACCAAAATTCACCTCTAAGCTCAGATATCCATGGACTGCTCCAGAATTCCTCCGCAGGGATACATCAGCATCTTCCTTTTGCAACTGCGGAGACGAGAGACTCTGGCAGGCAGGGGAGCACTGGAGGACAAGCTCCGAAAGGCAAACAGGTCAGAGAGAGAGAGAATGATGTGCTGGGTCCCCAAGGTGACGGGCAGGCTAGAAGCGGGTAGCCGGGGTACGTCGTCGTGGTGTGTGCTGATGCGGCGAGGGAGAATGGCCCATTGGCAGGTCTCGACCAATTGGACGGAGACGAAGTGGGTCCCGGTTGTGGGTTTGGCGGGGGAAGGGGTGGTGACATCATGGTACAGGTGACGACACCACGACATACCTAGATACACAGCCACCTTACCTTAGGTCCATCGAAAGGGCAGAAGGGAAAGGGGAAACCCGCGCATCACACACGCCACATCACCTCTGCGGCAAAGAAAAAGAGGCTTGGTTCTGAAGTAACTGGTTCGGTGCAAGCTTGGGATGCAGTAGGGAAAGCAAAGGCGGGTAAGGTAGGCGACGGGTGCCCTCTGCCTGTGGCACGTCTTTTCGAACCCAACCCCTGCTCGTACCATGCCCCCCCAGCTATGGTTTTAGTGCACATAGCTTGCCTCATCATGTATCGTCACACCTCCGCGATGGGAGAAGGAGACTTCGATCCAGACCTGCGTTCCCGCCCCAATTACCTCAGCTACCTTACCTTACGTTAGTGTGAGTACCTAGCTCTTGTTTCGCCTGGGTAGGTAAGGTAGGCGGGATGGGGATGTTGAGGAGGGCGGGCGACGGCGCGCCTGGCTTCGTGCCTTGGCGGCAGCGGTGGTGGTTCCCTTACCACATTGCATGCAGAAGCTGAGGTCACCGGTAGCTCACACACACACACCCGGATTCCCCTAGACACATAAAAGCCTGGCCCGTCCCGCCCTTCTGGTCGAGAGCTGTCTGTTTACATCACCTTCTCAGTCCAATCGAATCTGAGTTTTTATTTCTTTGCATCATAAGATACCCAAACAACCGCCATTATGTCTTTGCACTGTGAGTGTCTCTCCTCCCGGACAAGACGAGGATGCCATGATGCCATCGACGGCGCTGCCTTTCGAGGGATACGGCCCATCCTCGACCTCGGATACTCGACCCTCCTCAAAGAATCAAAGAACTCACCGAAAGCTAACCTCGAATCTCAACAGACCTTCCCCCCGTTAAGCCCTCGGCCATTGCCCTCGGCACCATCTTCAACCACACCGCTGAGCTCGCCGGTATGCGATACCCCCAAACCACGCCACCGACCCCAATGTTGGCATCAACTGACATGAGCTCCCCTCACCAGTCTTGACCCCCGTCTTCGGCCAGACCTACCAGCGCGCCAAGGCCGCCAACAGCAAGGAGGAGTTCCTCCGCTCCAGGGAGGCCAACTCGGCCGCCGTCGCCTGGGGAACCTCCCTCGTCGGCTCCGCCCTCCAGTCCTACGGTGTCGGCGCCCTCATCAACGCCACCGGCACTCTGTCCTACAAGGGCGCCGCCTACCTCGGCAGTCTGATCTTCTTCGCTACGTCTGCTCCCGGTGTATGTCTCCCTTTCAAGTACACGCAGTGCCGCAACTAACATGATTGCAGTACATCTCCCAGGTCTTCGCCGAGAAGCGTCCCCTCGACACCGTCGGCGTCAGCGTCCTGGCCAAGATCGTCGAGACCGTCGGTCTGTCCGTCTTCCTCACCTGGTGGGGTACCCGCACCAACCCCTTCGACTAAAGGGTTGCTTTAATGTGTTATGAATTGAGAGCTCTTGGATGACGAGACTTCTCGTGTGCTATTATTGCTGGGTTGGATAGGTTGCGGTCATGGAGTTAAAAGAGAGCTGAGATGCTCGACGAATGGGACATTACCATGTACCTACACTTTCACGTCTGCTCAAGCCATGATTCCCTAATCCACAAGATCAACAACTTTACTTGCCTCTTGTGAATTGCAGTGTGATATGACGACTTTAGCGTATAGCATTGCCATCGAACATCCACTACCTTCGGGAGTGATGTTGCAACTGTTGACACGCTACTTCGTAATACATCACAATGCTGGCAACAGCCATGCCATACCAGAACATAACCAAGATTGTGGAAAGGTCCTTACGATCCTGGCGGCCAAATAAAACTGACCGTGGCACAAGCAACATTGCCCAGAGCGGCATGAAGCCTGTTCACGGCATCACGCGGAAACTACTCTCGATCCGAGAAGTAGAAGGGTTCCTCCACGCCATTCGCACCCTGACGGTTCCAACGAAGGCTTTGATGATTTGAAAATCTTTATTGAGTATCAACTATACTCGCGAAGCAGAACCGTTAGAACGCCGATACTTTTGCTTTTTTTTCCAACCAGAAAAAATTCCCGTATGTCCGTGCCGCAAAGGCAGGTAAGGTATAGTACACACCCCCACAGAGCCATACCTTTTTCTTTGCATGGCAATCATGAACCTCAACACCCGTCTTCGGTGAATGTCTCGTACCTTGTAATTCAAACCATGAGTCTTTCTCGCTTCATGCAATTCTCAACTCAAAGCCCGTCATCCCCTCTCTCTCTCGCGTTCAGTGTCCACTCAAGACCAGAAAGACTGCTTGGCGGTCTCCTTCTGGACGAGCTTGACGAGCGCGGAGTAGACCTCGGAGTAGTCCTCGCCGTCGTCCTCCTCGTCGTCGCCGCCGGCGGCCTTCTTCTCGGCCTTCTTGGCGTCGGCGGGGGAGCGCTTCTCGGTGACCATGACGACGGAGGTGGGGCGCTTGGTCTTGGCCGCGGCGCCGAGCTCGGCGCGGGAGGTGACGAAGATGTAGGGGACGTTGTGGTCCTCGCAGAGCACGGGGATGTGGGAGATGACGTCCATCGGGGAGATGTCGCCGGCGATGATGACCACGCCGGGGAAGGCGGTGTTGGTGGGGCCCGAGGCCGGGGACTTGCGGAGCGTCTTGACGACCTCTTTGACGCCGCGCTTGAGGGTGTTGTTCTTGGCGGCTGCGGCAGACCGTTAGCACACAGATGCACGAGGACAATTGAGCCGTTTCTGGGCTCGAGGCGGGGTGGACACATACCCTTGCGAATGGACTTCATGACCTTCTTCATGTTCTTGTCGTCGGCCAGGGGCACGGCGAAGGGCACGAGGGCGCCGACGACGGGGAGGCCGTCGGCGGTCTTGGAGGCGACATCGCCGGAGGCAACGACGTCGGCGGCGACGTCGGCCTGGAGGTGCTCGTCGAGGGCGCGCTCGAGCTTCTCCTTCTTGTCCTTCTTCTCCTTCTTGTCCTTCTTGTCCTTCTTGGTCTTGGACACGCCGCCGTCGGACACGCTGCGCTTCTTGTCCTTCTTCTCCTTCTTCTCGGGCTTCTCGGCGGCCATTGCGACGGTGTTGAGCTGGACTCGGGGGCGGGAGGGAGGGTGCGATTGGGTGTAAGGGATGAAGGAGGAGTTGGACGTTGGGCGTGTGGAAGCTCTCGGGTCGTTCGTCGCGACTCGATTTTTTTTTTCTTCCAATGGCCAATGCAACTTTTTTTTTGGCGGGGCCCTGCATGGGTTTTGGTGGAGTGGAGTTGTTCCGTCCCGCGGTTCAGCTGGCTTAGGTAAGACACAGCACCTCGGTGAGAAGAGCACGTGACCTTGGTCGACCAATCACAGCCCTGGCATTGTGCGAATGTCAGCGCATCGCGATTGATGACTAGATGAACGTCGATTGCGGGAACAAATGAAGCCTGCATAGCATATACAGACTGACTGTTAGAGGTCCATCGGTCCGTCCGACATCGTCCGTTTAATTTCACTTCGTGATGCTGAACAGAGCAGCGCATACAAATTCACCCTTCCATCAAAACTCAGTGAGCCCAACGCATGCAGTTGCTCTTATTTTGCGGTAGCCGCTCCAATAGGCAAACGCTGCCATGCCAATTTCAAATAGGTAGTAGAAGAAAGATTTAAATCGTCAAAAATGGGGCTCTATTCCATATTTCCCCCTCTACGTAGTTGATATACACGTGTTTGACACAGGGAATCGTTGGTCCACCTCTAGCATTCGTCGTCCGCCGTTGTCGAGGAAACTCGTTTACTCCTCAGAGTCACCGAACTCGGCGCGGCCCTGCTTGGAGTTCAGGTAGTGGTTGCTGCGACATAGGTCAGTCCGTTGCTCTGCAAATATCGACATATCTCGTCGAAGAGGCTCGAAGATGTCCTACCGGTGGGTGGCCCAGTCCATGATGTACCAGCCAGCGACGAGGGGAGGGAGGACGTAGAGGACCTGAGCGCTGAAGCGGCGCCAGGTGTTGAAGACGGCGTCGTGGGCGGCACCGGCGAAGGGGTTCTGGCGGTTGGGGGCAATGCCGTAGGTAATGATACCTCTCTGCTTCTCGCCACCTGTTGCTCGTCAGTACTTCGTCCTTCTGGTCCGTATTCCGTCTCGGTCGTGCGTGGCGTCGGCGATGGAATCTGTCGATCCTCTATCCCTCATGTTCAAACAGGTTCGGTCCATAAACTCCATCATTCGTGCATCGCGGAATCGCATCGCCATCGCTCGTCGACGTTGAAAATCTCGGGGTTGAACGTACCAATGTGACCCCACCAACCGAGGTGGCTATGACATGAGTTAGCAAGCTGCAAAGACAAAGCAATTGAAGTTATTGCGCGCCGCGGCGGACAGAGGGACGCATCACGGCTGGCCGTCTTGGAAAAGCCCGCAGCGCTTCCAGCTCAATTGACCTCGTAATAGAGCGGTGACTTACTGGCTGTACTTTCCGTGGGGGATGCTAGGTCCCGAGGCAAGAGCTTGGGTAGGTCTCATCTTGGCGGGCTGTTGTGGTGGACGGTGATGTGCAACCGGGCGTGGAGATTCGTTCTGCGAAGCTGGAAATCGGAGGGCCAAATCAGACGAGGTTCAAATCTTGTCCCCTTCCTGCCGAACCTGAACGCTGAGGTGCACGTCCCGAAACGGTTTAGCGCGTTTTCCCGACTTTCTCTCCGTCACCACTGGTCCAGCCAGTGCACCACCCACCCCGATGACCCCGGTCGCACCCGCCCAAAATTCCATGACGGAGCTTACCGCAGCAGCCTGAGGAGCACTCGACAGCTTTGATTCTATCTGCGCCTGCACGACAGCCCACCAACGACACCCTTCAACGCCCACCGGATAGCCCGCGAATCCTGCCCGAGGACCTCACGACAGCCGAATTTCGCCTCTCCCCAGCTTCCGAATACCGACAAAAGAGAATCATGGCTCAGGCTCTGGGCTTTGCCTACCGCATGGCGGTCCCTGCGGCCATCGGTGTCGCGGTGCTTCAGTCATCAATCTACGACGTCAAGGGCGGAAGCAGAGCTGTCATTTTTGACAGGCTATCAGGTGTCAAGGAGTCAGTTATCAGCGAGGGAACGCACTTGCTCGTGCCGTGGCTGCAGAGAAGCATCATCTTCGATGTGAGGACGAAGCCGAGGAACATCGCTACGACGACAGGTAGCAAGGATCTCCAGATGGTCAGCTTGACCCTGCGTGTGCTGCACCGTCCTGAGGTTCAGGCTCTTCCCAAGATCTACCAGGTGAGTTGAGGAGAACGGAATTTCTGGTGAGGATAGTGTGGGGTCTGACCATTCGGACAGAATCTCGGCCAAGACTACGATGAGAGGGTCCTCCCCTCCATCGGTAACGAAGTCCTCAAGTCCATTGTCGCCCAGTTCGACGCCGCAGAGCTCATTACCCAGCGTGAGGCCGTCTCGAACCGCATCCGTAACGACCTGACAAAGCGCGCCTCCGAGTTCAACATCGCCCTTGAGGACGTCTCCATCACCCACATGACCTTCGGCAAGGAGTTCACCAAGGCCGTCGAGCAGAAGCAGATTGCCCAGCAGGACGCCGAGCGTGCGCGCTTCATCGTCGAGAAGGCCGAGCAGGAGCGCCAGGCCAACGTCATCCGCGCCGAGGGTGAGGCCGAGAGTGCCGACACCATCTCCAAGGCCATTGCCAAGTCCGGTGACGGCCTGGTTCTGATCAGAAAGATCGAGGCTAGCAGAGAGATCGCGTCGACGCTGTCTGGCAACCCCAATGTTGCCTACTTGCCAAGCGGCGGTAAGGGAGGCAGCCAGATGCTGTTGAACGTTGGACGTCCGTAAAGTGTTATGACATGGAGATGGCGGGGAAAAGAGAAAATGGCGATGTTGTATTATAGACTTTGAAGGCAAGTCACCGCTTCATTAAGTGTAATCATAGGGCAATGGATTCTGCCTCTTGTTCAATAAGAACTCACTCTGCTAAGATAGTCTACGATGACGAGCTGCCCAATCAAGCTTTGGGAAGCAGTGTGAATGCTGAGGAGCCGACTGAGTGGTGCCCTTCGGCGCAACAAAAACCCCGCACTTAGACCTTCGCAGCAGATGTAGGTATGGTATCTAACGTAGACGCACATGCGATATCTTGCCGTGGACGAGGTCCGCGGATACTTTCTCTTCGCAAGTCGACAGGGGTCAAGAACTGTAGCGAGACGTGAAGCATTCTCAAATACAGACGAGCTACGGCACCTACCTTGCCGATGGCCAGTCATCCCCATGTTTCTACTTCAAAGGTTTGACGACTACCATTCCCTGGGCTCAGACTATTGACCAGTAGTTGTTTTCAGAACATATCCATTGGCAATGGGTTCTCTGCTACCTTCCCGTCTGCATAAGACGACAATACGGCGGTGACGATACCAGACGAAGACAAGACCAATACATGCAGATTTAAGTCGCTGGTTAGCTCCAGTTTGCTCACCCTTTTGTAACGATCGTGTTGATGGTTCAAACACGCGGCCGTTAATGGTTCCCGGAGGCTCAGGCTTCACTAACACATGGAAACCTGGAAGTCACGTCCTCTGGCCTTCTCTTGTAGAACAGAAACTGAAGACAGCCTATTTAAAAGCCTAAGAGATCCTTTCAAAAAGAAAGCAATCTTGAATTTGTGCGACCCAGCCCCAAGTGAATCGAGAGGAAGCGTAGTGAGATAGCTGGCCGAGCATCATCCGCCTGCGCAGAAGTCCAAGGGCGAACAAACGCGATATAAGCGACTATACAACAGTCCTAGGCGTTCTATCGATGACTTCATGCCCTTATAGGCATTCGTGGCATTCTCTGAGAGGGTCTTATGGGGGCTTTCGTGGAATGGTAGGGACCTCGCGCCAGTCGAGGTCGCCGGTGGTGATGACAACCAGGACATTCTTATAAGTGCTCTCCTTGGATGATGCGCTTAGAACAGAAGCGAAAACGTGGATTGTTCTGATTTATCAGCTGAAACCCGCAAATATCCATTGAAGCGCTTGGGATGTAGGCCTTGCTCTACGGTGAATCAGGTGTCAAGTATATTCTCGGAGCGGCACGGCACTTGGGTCCGATGTGTTTTAACTGCTCGTCGTTGTCCAACATCCTCGTCCGTGAGTCATTGGTGAGTGAATATTCATGATGGGCATCAATGAGTTTTTCGTATGCGTCTGTCACGGAAAATAGCGTGGAGTGGACTATATATAAACTGTTTACAGACCAAGTCGTAGACAACGCTGAGAGCACTCATCATGGATTCAGTCAGAACATAGGTGCCGCCGCGAAGAGTAGCTTCAGACCGTTGACATTGAGCTTTATAGTGAGATCTCATTGATGACTAGAGGCTCTGGTTGGGATAAGCAGCAGGATTGGAGTCTCTTAGCGAGGGGCAACGTCGCGAGAACCGACCAACAGACGGATGTAAAGGAGGGCGGGCGATACCGACGCAAGACGGCAGCGTGTAAGGATGCCAAGTTCTTCTTGCGCAACTGCAATGAATATAGGTGCATCTAAAGGCAGAACTTTCCAAGATCCTGGCTCAGGATTCAACGCTGTAGCGTAGCCCCCCTCATCCTGTAGAAGATGGATGCCATCGCCGTCACGTTTCTTGAGGTCATGCACCGCAGTCGGGCCATGGTATATATTTAGGATACCATTGCCTCGTGTTGAATGCTTCAGGACAATTGTACCAGTCCCAAAACTTTCGGGAGAATCTCGACTGGGTCTGGCTCCATTCGAAATGTCTTTGGTCTGGTCATCACCAAGTACGTAACGTGATGACCCCTGCAGGCAAACCCATTTCTAAACTTACGCCATGGGAGTTGTTGTTGTCTGATTATTCTATCAAGACATACTGACGACGGAGAGGAAAGAGGACTGGCGGCCATCACGCAGAAAGTGACTTTATATGCTCGTCGTCACCACTTCGTAAGGATACGCTGCACTTCACTGCTTATGACGCAGCAACAGAGTATCATGATTGATGTTTCCAACTTGATGACTCATTGAGGGTCTCGCAGATCTTTTATTTCAACGAGTAACTCCATAAATGGTAGCTTATTCACTAGGGTACCGGTTTCAAAGGAGAGAAGCAGAACTGTCGACGCGAAACACTTGTCAAGAGGTTCTAGTGTTACACCACAAGGGAATCATGGTAGACGTAGCATAGCCGCCAGAACAGCGAGGGCACGCGTAATTCTCCTTTTGCCTAGCATCTGTCTGCCTTCCATAAAATGGTCACCGACTCCTGCACCTGTCATCCTGCTGTCGGCCTCCATATGATATCTTCCCTGGTGTCATGGTTGAGTCTTTGCGCCTAGGATCTCAATTCTACAAACAGCTGTCGTAACTTTCTAGTTCATACCATTCGATTCACACCGGCTCCAAGCTTTGGAAAAAGCCTTGACTTGGAAAGCTGGTGAAATGAGAGCCACGGGACTTATAAATAACAGCGCGCCTGAATATTTTACCGTAGCAGCCACGAGTCGTCCCTTCCACTCATAAGAATGGGGAGAGCATGAAACTGCCTGGTCGCGTCTGTCGAGACTGGAGTAAGCCGCTCCTCCGCAAGATTTACCGTTGCGAAGCTTTGGTGTGGGTTTGCGGAGGAATATGAAGTGCTCTGTTGTCTGCTTGTTCCGTCATACAACACGGACGGAAGAGAAGACGAGAGAAGATGCAACAACATGAGTTCTCAGAAGTCTCTCTCAGAAACTACATGTGCCATTCTGGACCTACACTTTTCGAAACGTCGAAATGCAGCAGCCCAGACCGTCTTTCCAACGAGAAATAACGAAGAAAGGCCGCTTTTGGTGACGAGGATGGAGACAAGTGGTAGCGTGAAGATCTCGCTTTGTCAACAGCTGCAGTTAGAATAGCTTACTTATAGGAAAATTTCGGTGTTGGTTGGCCTCAGGTATCACGGGACCAGATTTAGAGTGGACGGCGGAGAATGAGAGAGAGAGAGATGATGCTGGTATCCATCGAGAAGATACCCATTGCCTGAAGGAAGCAGGAAGGGCGGATCATCGTCAGTATCTGCGACGGGGAATATTTAGCCTCGCATGTAAGTTTCTCTAGGGAGTCGTATAACAGAAACACGAGTATACGCCTCTCCGGTCACGGTCACCTAGGCAGAAGGGAAGTCCAGATCCACCTAAGCCAGCCTACGGATCGTTGGATTGTGATATGGGGCGACTTGGCCTTGGTACTGGTGCCGCTACAATTAAAGACGACCCGTCCTTCTGTGGAGTTGGGGATTCTTCACTCAGGTTCCCAGCGTCTCCGCGTGCCGGCACGCTTGGATCCCAAAGTCGTTCCATGCCTCGCCTTCAACGGCCAGTCATGCCTTCTCGTTATTTGGGATCCGTCAGGTAGACGAGGCCGAAGAACAACAGCCCAATAGTCGTAGTCGACCGTAAATGGGGACCTGAAAACCGAAGGCTGACCTCCACTGCTTTCGCATGTCCTGGGCTTCGTCGTCAATGACAGTGAACCACATCCGCTCGAAATCTTCGACTTGACGGATCACCTCCCACGACTGAATCACACCACAAGGGGCTCGCGTATCGGGGCTGTCCATGTACCCGATCTCGTCCTCTTCGAAGAACCCCTGCTGCATGACATACATTTCTTGCCAAATGGGGCGGCGACGCCTCTTGCCGTCGGGGCCGACACAACTTTGGAAATCGAATACTCGCCCACCAGAGGGGGCCAAAAGTGAAGAGCAACAATGACTTAAACGAGTTGGCATCTGTCAAGTCAAGACACCACAAGCAGAGAGGAAATCCTATATTGCGTGAACGTGCAGCACAGCCTTGCTCAGTCTCCAGCAGGAGTTCGAGCAGTGGATCATGCTGGTTTCGCCTGCCAGTGTTCATCACTACAGAAGACGAGGTTTTATACCGAATCAGAGATATTCTGCGACGGATGCGCGGGTGAGACGAGTTGATGTGGGTATAGTAAAAGGCCCGGCGATGCTCGGGATATACGTTCTAGGATAACGGTGGCATCCGGCAAAACCTGGCCAGCTGTCGTAGTGGTTCGAAACCTTTCGTAGCATCAGGCCGATCAACGTTCCCTCGGCGCCAGGGCGCCAGGGCACCAGGTGAACTGGATGCGTGTTGATTACGAAGTTTGACCTTGTTCCATTCTGTGTTGATCGTGTGATATATACGCGGTGGACGAAGAGGGAAAACAGAAGATTAGGCAGTTCGGCTCATAAAATGACGGGACACGGATGAGTATGCAGATCATCGTGACGACGAGTTTTTCTGAGGCTTATTTAGATCGTTGAGTTCTGAGACTGACGAAGGTGTCCCGGCACATGCCTACTTTCGTTCAGGCTGCGACTTTCTTGCCGAACTTATTAACAGACTTGAGCACGCTGAATACGAATGATAGATACGGTGTTGCACGTCATGAAATTCCCGATTATTATTAGGAAGCCCTGATGTCAGGGTAGGTATCACTAGACAAATTCCACGCCTCCAATGCATCCATGATTCCTTTTCCCCCAAAACTCCAGTCCAAAGCTCAATAGTAAGTGTGAATGTAGCTGTGCTCATCCTACAGGGCAGCAGCCTCCAAAAACTCCGAAGTCAGCTGGCCGGTTAAGTCGTCCCTGGCTTTTCCTCCAGGTGCGACGAACTCGCCACCGACGAGCTTCCAGCCCTTCATCTTCATGCTCTTCCACTCCTCCGACAGCTTCAGGCGGACGAGATCGCCAGCAGCACGGGCATCCTCCGCACTGTCGTGACCTTGAACCTTTCCAGACGTCTCAACCTGAATCTTGCGGTTGAGGAGGGTATCCATAAGCATCTTCAGTCCCTGGCGGTAAGGAAGACCGTGCTTGTGGGGGAAGAGCAGGACGGTGTCGATGATAGTGGGGTGCACAATCCTGACAGAGTTCAGGTCGTTCTCCAGACCGTGACCAATGAGCGGGGTGTCGGGGCCGATGAGGGAGAAGAGCAGGTCGCGAGCAACCTCGGGAGAGGAGACGATCTTCATCTTCTTCTTGGGCTTCTTGGGGCTGGCCATGTTCTTCGCCTGAGCAGGAGTAGGGTCCTCTTCCTTGGCGGTCCAGGGCTCGGCAGTGGCCATGTCCTCAGGCCAAACACCAGAGTAGCGAGAGTTGAGGTCCAAAATCTCGCCGACGGGCTGGACAAGAACATCCAGCAGCTCCTCGCCGGTGGGCCAGGCGGTGGCGGTGATGCGGACAAGCTCGAGGCCGTGGACAGTGTAGCACATCTCGCAGTCGAAGCAGACGGCTCTGTCGGAGGGGACATTGGGGTTGGCAGGGGTCTCGGCGAAGTTGAGAATGGTAGCAAGGCGCTTGGGGTCCGAGGCCTTGAAGACGTGGTTAGGGACGGTGTGACAACCAGTCGAGTCTCCAACGGCCTGGCCACAGCAGCGGTAGCGCTTCTGAGGTCTGGTGTTGTCGCCAAGCTGGCGCTCGGGGAAGTAGGTCTTGCCCCAATGGTAAGTGCAGCTTCCACCCGAAGCCAGAGCTCCATCCTCCTCTCTTCTGCCGGGAAACATCTGGAAACGCTTATCACAGCGATCGCACTTCTCCCAGCCCTTGGCAGCCTCGAGACCCTGGCGCGCCTTCTCCACGTCGGCCTCGCTAGGGACTGATGGGACGTAGCCGTGATTGGCGAGGCCGTCGATGGGAGTGATGAGATGACGGACAAGCTGAACTTCCTGAGCCGGGGTAAGACCGGTAACAATCTTCTTGGGTGAAGCGAGAGGCTTCTTGTTGGGACCCTTCTGCGTCTGCTGGCGCCGCTGGACGACTCTCTCGTCCTTCCATTGTATGAGCGTCATCTTCTTGTACTGCATGATTTTGTTCTTGATTACGTTTGAGTAGACGGCGGTCTTCTCGGTGGCGATGTTCTCCTCTTCGTCGAGGGTTCTCCAGATAAGGTCCTGGTCTGTGAGGACAAGCTTTTTCTCGTCGTCTTTGGCGGTCTTTTTGAGCTCGTTATTCAGGCGAGTGTACTCTTGATATAGCAACTGAACCAGCTTGTAGCGAGTTTCAAATTTTGCTGGCGCTGCTACTGATTTCAGCAGGCGAGGGTTGAGAGCCTCAGGCTTCCTGGGCTTAGGTGGTGCCTCCCTAGATGGGGTTGAAGGAGTGTGAGGTGAAGTAGAAGAAGAAGTCTTGTCGTGTGAGACTGAAGTTGGTTTTGCTTTTGAAGTGGTGGCAGATGTGCCAGTAGACGGGGAGCCAGTGAGTGAATCAAGCTTCCGCTTAAGTGGGGGATTACTCGAAGATAAAGGAGAGGACTTTGAGTGATTCAAGGACTTGGGATGGGATGAAGCGAGAGAAGGGACGGCAGAGTGAACTTGAGTGCCCTTCTTCACGACAGCAGGCGGGTTGGAGGAGGTTGGGCGATTTAAAGGTGGAGGGGAGATGGGCCGAGCGACAGCTGACAGAGTGTCATCTGGTCTTGGTGCCGTTGTGTCTTGTTTTGAGGCGGTTTTGACAGGAGAGGGAGTTCTTGCAGAATCGGCGGGGCCGCTGACGTCTTTAGCAAACTTGGGACGTTTTCGAGGGCCATCCTGGGTTGCATTCGTCGAGGTATCAGACAACCTCTGGGTCGACGTTCCTGACTTGACTGCCGGTGGTGGTGCTGATGATGTGGCAGCCATCTTATCCCTGTCTTCTTTATGCTGGAAGAGGCACTGGAATGCAGTACACTTGTCTCCGGCGGGACAGGGGATGTGTTTGAGGTCAACAAAGGACATTGTGACAAGATTTCTTTCAACAGCAGTAGAAATACAAGAGCTAGTTGAGCCGGGTGGGCAGGAGCGGTAGCAGGGCCGGCTTGGCGGCTCTTTCTGCTGTTGTCGTTGATACTGTTACTCAAACAGATAGGTATCGTGAGGGTGGTCTTGCCTTTGCCTCCCTTGGCTTCAACCCGGCAGCAACTCAGATAGCGAGTACGAATACTTTGAGGATACTCGGTAAGAGCAATGGAAACAGCGTGGCCTCGGTCTGGAGAGCCACCTAGAGGAAGACGATCAGTGCCGGCTGGTCGTAAGGGAGATAGAGTCAGAACGAGAGTGAAAGCGCCGATTAAGGCTTTGACGATCCGGGGGAGCGATATGAAGATCTCATAGCCAAAACCGAAGCCGGTGGTGGTTGGCGTCGCAGTCGGAGAATTTGGGGGGCCACGGGCTAACGGGCCAGAGATGGCCAGGGCGAGGCTGATACAGGAATGATGCGAGATTGGCAAGATTGGGTGACAATCAAGTGATCTTCTGGCGGAACCATAGATAGACCAGACAACGGAAACGTTCAAGGCATAAAGGTGGGAGGGTTTGGAACAGTGTCACAGATGGTTGATGTGTTTCAAATGCAGTCGGAGATGGGATGAAGAGAGGTTCCGAGCGTCTGACGGGCGGGATTATGTAAGGCTGCCAGTTGGACGGGGACGGGGAGTGGGGCTGGTCCAGTGGAAGCCAGGCAAGCCAGGCAAGGGTTGGCCCGCGACGGTCCAGATCTTGCAGCTTCCATCCCACATTCCAACCGTTGGCGGAAGAAGCCTCAATAGCGTCAACTGCATGCTTCCTCGAGGGAAGCCAACGTGTTCTTTCTTTTGCGACCGAGAGTCAGGGATCAGCAGTCCGGAGTCAGAGGACCACCGTCATGCTACTCTTTCTATTTTCCGCGGCGACGCATCTCCTAGGAGACTGGCGATGGACTGAATCATGATCTTCGACTGTCCGTCTCGATCACTCTCTTCTTCTTCCACCCACCTCATCTCCATTTCGATACTATCTTTGAAGACCAAAGACAGAATGATATCTCCGAGGTGCTGCGACAGGTTACCCTGAGCAACAGAAAGCTGTCACCACCCCTTGTGCAAGCCAGCCTCCCTCTCCCATTCCCTCGGGGTTGATGTGATTCAAGGGGCAGCACCCCCCCCAAAAAGCCTTATCGCAGCAAATCCAGGGACGCGAACTTTATTTCGTCTAGGTACCGTCTCATCTTTGGCTCAAAATGAAAGCTCACAGACAACGCTGATAGCGGCTGACATGGGCGCATTGAAAGTATCTTACAGCACTGGCAGTCTTCAACTTTCTTTTCCAACGGCTTTTTTCCAGCCACCAAGACAGCTGTACCACGTCAATTCTCTTATCTCGACAGAGGCCGAGCACGATGTCAATCACTCCGATACGAATGGAAACACAAGCACAAACGGGCATGTGATGGGCAGCGACCCCTAGCCTCTCCCTTGTCAACCATTCATCTTCTACCAAGCATGCAGCTCACACCTTCCCCTCACGACCCAGCGATAGTGACCCAAATCCGGTCATGAACGAAGCCATCCAGACGAGCGCTCCCGTCGCCGTTGATAACGGGTCCCGGAATCTTAGCCCCGGCGGGTGTTAGTGGTACCAAGCTATTGAACACAAGCTGGGCAGCCCTGGTCTCAAGGATGGACTTTCCTATCGCGGTGCAACGGTTGGACAGAAACCCACTGGCGGTGAACCGTCCATCATTTATCGAGAAATCGTTATCTACGACGCAGATCGGACCTACGTCCGTACGGGAAGGGTGACCTTCTGCGATTTTCTATCGAGCTCTGCGGCGGTATAAAGGAGGCACTTGTGACCCAACATCTTGATGCTGTCTAAAATCGTGTCGGCCTGGTGTTTTTGAAAGTTTGAGCCTCTCTAAGCCGTCATCGTGAGTGAAGACGAACCGACATCTTCATTTTGAATGGCAGGGGATCCCAGCAGCAATTTATAGCTTCGAGTTTTAGAGCTCTCGCCATCAGCCCTATCGATTAACGTCGCAATTCCAGAACGGACTGTCACCAGGAACGCGAACAGGTAGCTCACTTAGGCAATTCACCCAACCCAAGCGAATCCTTCGTGTCGTCGCGAATCGGAATCCCCAACCTCAACCCGTGCCGTCAGCGCTGGAGCCTTCGGGCGGCGCAAGAAGCCAACGAACGATCTGACGTCGCGTGCGCACATTCCACTCTCAGAGCCCTTGCTCACTCTCCCTTGTGTGTCCTGACTCCTGGTAGGCTTCCACTCAAAGTCGTCAGATCTGGTCGCATAAACCACCCAATTAGCAACTACCAGCTCGGAAACAGGAGGTAGCGGACCAACTTTACCCCCAAAGCCACGCGGCGCACGGCACCCAGTAGCACCAATAGCGCACAAGAGCACACCACCCTAAGGGGCTCTACGGGGGTGCTACGCCCGCCTTATCTCCCCTAAGTCCAGTGTCCAGGGACTGAAGGAGGCGCAAACAGTGGCCTCTCCAGCGCGTGTTAGCATCATCGAAATCTTTCAGGTCGTCCCAAGTCCAGCTGGGCGGGATTCAGCTGCCCCGGTCGGACCTTGCGGACTTTCCGTTGGAGGGACTCTTTTGTGGTTCGCCCCGAGGATATTAACTCGGCCCGCGTCCCACTTGAGAGACATCCCTCCAACTAACTCTCATCGTCAGAAGCGTTGTTGCCGTTCTCACTTCGCTCTATTGACCGGTCCCTGATCTCATCAAGCTACATAATGGATTACACCGGCGGCACCGTGGAGGCCGATCATCTCTGCGTCCTGGTCCATGGGGTTCGTACCTCCCTACCTCCCTGCCATCCTACACCCTTACTCCATGAGTTGATCTGTTTGATATGCTTATGGCCTGCAAATCAATTGCCCCCAGCGACATCATCCACTCCTTTTTTGATGTTATACCTGATCCCGAAGGATGGACTAACGCCGGCTCCTTAGCTTTGGGGTAACCCCAACCACATGGCCCAGATCGCCAAAAGTTTGCGTGCAAAACACCCAGCCGACAAGCTGTACCTGCTGCTTGCGAAGCGCAACAGCGGCTCATTCACCTACGACGGCATCGAGCGCGGCGGCGAACGCGTCTGCGCCGAGATCGAGGAGGAACTGCGCGCCATCAGCGAAAGGGGCGGCAAGATCACCAAGCTGAGCATCGTCGGCTACTCACTCGGCGGTCTGGTCTCTCGCTATGCGGTCGGCCTGCTTCATTCCAAGGGCGTTCTCGACACCGTAGAATGCATGGTATGCTCTTCTTCTTCTCATCGTCGCCACCGTTTACTAACGCGGTGCAGAACTTTGTAACCTTCGCGACGCCTCATCTCGGCGTCCGCACGCCGTTGCGCGGGGCGCATAACCACCTCTGGAACGTCCTCGGCGCGCGCACCCTCTCCATGTCCGGCCGCCAGCTCTTCACGATCGACAACTTCCGCGACACGGGCAGGCCGCTCCTCGCAGTCCTCGCCGACCCCAACTCCATCTTCCTGGCAGGACTGAAGCGCTTCAAACGCCACACCCTCTACACCAACATCGTCAACGACAGAAGCGCCGTGCACTACACCACCGGCATCACCAAGACAGACCCGTACACGAACCTCGACAACATCAAAGTCAACTTCCTCGACGGCTACGAAGAGGTCATCCTCGACCCCAAACACCCCGTCGCGCCGCGCCCGAAGGTCTCCGGCCCCGCCACCATCTCCTCCGTCGCCTCCGCCAGCGTGAAATGGGTCCAACGCATCCCCTTTATCGTCGCCCTCACCGTCTTCGTGCCCATCGGCATCGTCGCCTTCCTCTTCAACTCGGTGATCCAGACCGTCCGCTCCTCGAAACGCATCCAGCTCCACGAGAAGGGCCTCGCCGGCGTCGCGATCGAGGAGTACCGCGGCCCACTGTGGATGAAGGAGATCCGCGAGGAGGTCGAGCACGTCTACGAGACGCTCAACAGCTCGCAGGACCAGGAGTACCTCGGCAGCGACACGGAGGACGACGACGACATCGACTCGCGCGAGATGGACCGCAGCACGACGCAGCTGCTCGCGCGGGAGCGGCGCATGTCGGTGCCCTCGCAGCCGACGCTCGCGCTGGCCCCGTACCAGTTCCAGATGATCCAGAACCTCGACTCCGTCGGCTGGCACAAGTATCCCGTCTGGATTCACAAGGACAGGCACAGCCACGCCGCCATCATCGTGCGGTGGGAGAAGAAGACCTTCACCGAGGGACACGTCGTGTTGAAGCACTGGCTGAACGAGGAGTTTGTCATTTGAGGGGACATATGAGCGGTGTTTCCGGAGTTGGAGAGCGTTGATTTTTGGTATTGCTATGCTTGCTCCTCGAGGAGATTTAGATCTTATCTGTACAAAACTTTCGCCTGTAACATATAATTACACGATTTCTACACCAGACCACGTTCTTGTACTGGGCTTAATTGTCACATTGCACAACAGGTAAGGAAACTATCGCGACCTTACGCACACTCTATTCTTTCAAAGCTTCATCCTCAGAAACAAAACATGTTTATCATCCCATCTACACACTCCTCTACAATACACAGCCCGCGATCATCACGACCGACGTCATCCTCAAACCTCCGAACAACCCGGCCCCCAAGCCCATTAACCATCTCGTTTGACGGAACCCGAGAAGCACAGACCACCTCGCCAAAAAGCCAAAAAAAACCCAGTCCACCGGCACACGCTAGCCCGGATCCAGGGGTTCTCTCCCGCCGTTCCTCACCCTCTCCCCCGGAATCCACACCTCTTATCAACCACTCATCTCCCTGCTAATTACGTAGTGTAGGGGGGTAGGGGGCGTGCGCGGCGTAAAACCTTCCTTCACATGGACCAAAAAGCAAAGAAAGGGAGGGCGAGAAAAGTCAATTGCGTCGTCGAACGCGCTGCTGTGCTGACTTACTCCTGAATCCATGACCAGGTCTCAATAAACATTTCTGTTGTATAGCGAAGCATTTCTTTCCGAGGCAAAAAATGCCGTCGTGAAATTACGGAATAGACTTTCAACAGAGAAAAGATGAGGACATCGCGCGTGTCGAAGGAGACCTCGGCGCTCTTCAAGACGGCGAACCAGACGGCCCCGGCATCGCCCCCGCGCAGGACGACGCGCTCCTCCCTCGCGCGCTTCGCGTACGCCGCCGACACGACGACCACGACGACAGCCACGGCGGACTCTGCGATTCGGGATATTGTTCTGGGGAATGACATCGAAGACGCAGTCACGAGCACGAGCACGAGCACAACCAAAAAACGCAGACGCGCAGCCACTTCCACCAAGACGGAACCCGAGATCAAGACCGAACAGACCGAAACGGATACCATCACAACGAGCACAACAAAACCCCCCGCGGCCAAAAAGGCACGAAAACCCGCGCGGGTGATCAAGGGCCAGGACAGCAACACCCGCGTGGAACCGCCGTCGGACTGGGAGGCGATGTACGACATTGTCAAAAAGATGCGCCTCACGGGCGCGGCCAAAGACGCGGCGGTCGACACGATGGGGTGCGAGCGGCTCTTCCACCCGGACGCATCCCAGCGCGACAGGCGCTTCCACATCCTAATCACGCTGATGCTCTCGAGCCAGACCAAGGACACGGTGAACGCGGTGGCGATGAGGCGGCTGATGACGGAGCTGCCGGCGTGGAGGGAGGGCGCGGAGGTGGGACTGTGTTTGGAGAACGTGTTGGCCGTCGAGCCGGCCAAGTTGAACGAGTTGATCTGGGCTGTTGGGTTTCATAATAACAAGACCAAGTACGTGGCTCAGGGCATCGAGTGGAAGAATGAAATGCTGACGAGGATACGCGCATAGGTACATCAAGGCGGCGGCGGAGATCCTCCGCGACAAGTTCGACGGCGACGTGCCGGACACGGTGGAGGGGCTGACGTCGCTGCCGGGCGTGGGTCCGAAGATGGCGTATCTGTGTCTGTCGGCGGCCTGGGACAAGACGGAGGGGATCGGGGTGGACGTGCACGTGCACCGGATCACGAACCTCTGGGGGTGGCACAAGACGACGCAGCCCGAGGGGACGCGGGCGGCGCTGCAGAGCTGGCTGCCGCGGGACAAGTGGCGCGAGATCAACTGGCTGCTCGTCGGGCTCGGGCAGACGGTGTGTCTGCCCGTCGGGAGGAAGTGCGGGGACTGCGAGCTCGGGGCGAGGGGGTTGTGCAAGGCGGCGGATCGGAAGAAGGTCAACGAGGGGCGGAGGACGAGGGAGGCTAAGGTCGAGGTCGGGGAGGATTTGGTGATCAAGACGGAGGAGGAGGAGGAGGTCGTCGTCAAGGATGAAGTCGTAAACGAGTCCGTAGAACTGAACTCCGCGCCGGTGCCGGAGGTCAAGCCGGAAGAAAGCGAGCCGACGGGTGCGGCGGCGGCGGCAGCTCCGAGGAGGAGACGCGGAAAAGGGGCTTGAACGGGCTGAAAGGGGTTAAAAAATCTCGACAGCGAGAGACAACAAGATCTACAGTCCGTGAAAGGCCTCCCAATTCAGTCAACATCCACCCATCTTTCCGTAACCATCATCTTGCTACACTCGCGGGTGTCAGCGCAGGGGAGGGGATTGCAAACAAGGCATTTCTTGGGACGACGGCAGCGGCGATCCGACCGATGAGATGGGGACGTGTCTCCATGTCCGGGGCGTGCCTGCCTCGCTTCGGGCATCGGTGGAGGGCGGGCCCGAGAATGGTTCGGAGGAATTCCGACTTTGGCGGAAGTCGGGGCGAGAACGAGAAAACAAAAAAAGAGAGTCATTCCAGGCAAGGTGTGCACTGTGCAAGTCACGGGAGAAGAAGGTGGTGGAAGGGTAGGGGGCGAAAATACGGCAAAGATACGATGTCGGAGATACGCCGGCATTTCGTCAACGAGAAAGTTGCTCCGTTCTCCGTGTCCGCCCGCGGTGCGGTGCCGTCATCGTGCGATTCTCACAGTGTGTGACGTGGACACGGAGGCGAGGTTCAAGGGCGTGGAGACTGACTCGTCCCCTTGGGGTCAGAGGACGACGGAAACGGCGAGTTGAAGCACTGCGTGGCCCACGGTTGCTCCGATGATGAGGAAACCGTCGGATAAAAGTTGAAATAAGGGAGCGAAAGTGCCGGGACAAGGAGACAACAGAACCAGGCCGAAAAAAATTGATTCTGCGGTGCTGCAGCGGACTGACTTGCTGAAGGTTTCGAGGGGCATGCTCTGTTTGAACGAGCAATGTTCGTCCGTGGTCTCATTCGGCTGAAATGGCGGTAACTCTCCGAGGTTTTCCAACACTGAATCCCGGTGGGTGGTCCGGCGTCTCCGCTGCCGGGCCTGCAATGGCAAACCATCCGTCGTCACTGGAACAGTAGTCATCAAAGTTATCATCATCAAAGAGGAAGGAGGGAAAGTTTTGTGTGTGAAATCATGTGGTGTAATTTGAATCAATCCAGAAGAAAATTCCAGAGAAAATTGATGGCCAATCCTCTTCATGGCGGCCGCTCGAAATAACCATGCGCCGATACGCCGTGCGGGAAGAGGTAGAAAGCCGAACTATCCTAAGCTAGAGATATGATACACCGCGTGGTGTAAAGACTCGGGGCGAACAACAGGTCGCCTCGGTTCGATTTGCGCGAACGTTGATGTGAGCCAAGCAAGAAAGACGCCGCCGTCGCTACTGCTGCATTATAGAGGCGAACTTGGTCGAGTTTCGCGAGAACTGTATCGAAAGAGATTTCATCATGTCGTGCAGAGGTTCCAAGATGTAAGGGGGAACGTGCAGGGTGGAAGAGAGTCCGCCTGGCAACAGCTATCGGTAGAATCCGAGCTGTGTTCCGGTGATTGCGCCGGAGAGCCACATCTCGACGGGGGTTGTGTAATCGCGCCAACGACCGTTTCGGCGTGAGATGGGAACGTGGTTATTGGTGACACCGGGTGTTGTTCTCATACACCGCGGATGACCTGGGTGCGCTCTGCCTCGAGTTGGGCGGCATTGCGCTCGTGAGACTGCTTCTTGCACTGCATTTCCGGACAAGTTAGCACAACAGGCCTTGTTCTCGTAGTACGGTGCCGAGGCCAAGGAGCCAGGAACACTCGGGACTCTCGGTGGAACTTACGTCTTCCAAGCCGTCGCACTTGTGATCCTCGAGAAGACGGTGCTTTCCGCAGAAGTGACCATTGCAGAAACCGCAGTCTCCGACGATGCGCTGGGCGGCGTCCTTGCACTCCTTGAAGGTGCAGCGGATTCTCTTGATAGGCATGTTGGGTGGTTGTGGTGGTGTTGGTGACGTGGAGGTTGTTGTCAGGTGTTCGTGGTCAGACGAGCAATGCGACGCTGTTATGGGCGAGGCGGTAAGGTGTTGCGTCGAGGTTTCTTGACGTTGACGACGTAGGCTCGTTATCAGACGAGGACGAGGAAGCGGCGAGGCAGATAGGCGTGAGAGGGGAAGTGTTGAAGAAGGACGGGAGGTGAGGAGGGAACTATTAAATCAGGGTGAAGTGGAAATGAAGGTGAGTAATAAGGGTAGGAGAAGTCGGCTGAGGCGAATTGTGTCAGTCGGTCAATGATGATCTAATAAGCAGAGCCGGGTCCAGGTCCAGGCAAGCCAGGCCCAGGTCGAAGGCGGGAGAAGCGCTCACAATGAATGACAAGACAACAAGACAAGGAACACCGGCGTGGAGCAGGGGACAAGGTGGCTGGTGGAGCTTCCGGGGTGGAGGGGCGTGTGAGACTCTGCCTCGCAGCTTCACTCCCACGTCCCACGTCCAGGTCCAGTGTCCCAGTGCTGCGTGCTCGCTCACCTTGGACTAGCAGGTACCCGTCTGTACCGATAGTGGATGCGGATTGATGGATCGCGGGTGTGTTGGGGTTCCATGTTGGCTATTTGCAGCGTTCGACGACCCTCTTCAAACGGCAATGGCCAACACTCATGTGCTCATGCAGGGCACTTTGGCTCCCCATCGGCGGCGCCAATGCAGGATTGATTAAACGGAGAGGCCAAGCACTCAAGCACTTCCCTCACAACTTGCGGGTGGTCAGTCATCCCGGACGGGAGGCGTGACCACAGCGTCAGCATCTCATTACTGCAGTACGGGTAGACCACACCCAGTCCTCCTCTTCCCGTCGCTACCGTTCATCAGTCAGGTCAGAAGTCAACCTTGCTACTGTGAACGCGGTAAAGTGACGGCTCCGATGCACGCTGTGCTGCGTGCTGCGCTGCGCGGCGCTGCAATGCACGGCCAGACCACTCGCTGCTGTCCACGGTGCCTACTATGTAATCCATGCTATCCGTACGTCGTGCTAAGAAGGCCGTTTCCGTTTTGGCATGCAGAACCCAATGGAAGAATCGGGGAGGCAACTGGCGAATGTTCGTGACGGAGTGGTAGATACTTAGCGGTTTGGCCAGACCGTCACCAAATGAGAGACGGATAACGGGAAAGGAAATGCAGGTATTGTGGTCTGGACTGTGGGTATGAGGTCAGCAGTTGAAGAAAGGAAAATCAGGGTCGCTGGGGTGCCTCTACCTGGGCCGAAACAAATTGTCTGAGGTGGTCCTTTGTGCAGGCGGAACAGTGGACGATGTTTCCTTGCTGCGATGGGAAAAGGCAGCAACTCGAGTGCGTAAGTCAGCCGTGTTGACGCAGCCAAGCAGCCTCCGTACCGCTGAAGTCACTGGCCTGGGTGATCGGATGGGGCGAGGCAACGCTGATGGAGTCTGCGAATGGAGGATGGATGGGGACCAGGTGGACAAGGTCGGGGTCCAGGGCAGGGCAGGGCGAGACGAGACATTGGGCGCTCTGCAGTCCCGAGGTTCAAAGCCACCCAGCAGTACCTTGTATCCGTACCAAGTACTGGCCTGCGTTGCGTTGCGTCAAATGGGCGTCTAGGCAATGCCGATGACACCGTGTTGTGAGGCTCCGAAAGCGGTGAATTGTCGTCGGGATAGACTGGACTGGACTGAGCTGGACCTGCGCCGCTGGATTACGGCGTGCTTCAGTAACCAACGAGGCTATCGGGGGGCATTTCTTGGTGTGTTTCTGATTCTTGTCCCGGATCGATGGATCACTGCCGCCGGATCTGCAACGGAGCAGCGTATGATCGCTGGCAAGTCATCGTCAAAGAGAGACAGACACCGTGCTTTCGGGAGGCCGGAGGGCGGTTGATTCATCTGTGGACGTACTATGATGGTGATTTCGGATCAGCAGACGTACTGAAGTATGTGTGCGTGCTTGTAAGTTGTAGCCGCGAGGTATCTGTAGGATAATACGTCAGCGATGGTTTGGGGTTGGCGAGATGAGGTGACTTTTAAGAGACCGCTGCTGGGGTGCGTGCTTGGATGAAATCCCCGGTATCCGTACGAGTCAGGAAAAGGCAACATCGAAAGTGACAACGCAAAATAGTTGGACGATGCAGTAGAGTTGCAGATGCAGATGATCAACTCTTGTTAATGCACTTTTTCTGGTATAGAGTAGATGGCTTTTGGAACGGGCAAACAGGAGCCGAAGTTCAAGACGGCAGGACAAGAGACACGTGGAGCACCTTCCATCAACAGCAAGAGCAAGAGCAGAGGCAAAAAATCGAAATGTACGGCAGGTGCAGGTTTGCAGCAAAGGAAACCCCTCTAATGCAGGCAAGTACACACCTCAGTCAGTAAGGTACCTTCTTCTACATCCTCTGCAATTCTTGCCTTTCCCATCAACAGCTGCATTAATCACAAACACCTCGACCTGATTCATCAAGATGCATCCTACAATGTTCCAAACGCGCGAGTCCCGGCCGCCATCTCCCGAACATGCCACCGACACTGGACTCACGGCAAGAATCCCTTCGGACCATATGCCGACGATGCGGAGGCCATGACTTATCGACGCCAGCTCTCAAAGAACCGCTCGCTACCTTCACCTCGATGCTATCTATCTCCGCGTATCAGCTCAAGCCAACATGGCCCCTCTGCAATGACAAGGCGCCGCATGGCATTGGCAATACCATCGCATGGCCCCATGGATCATGGCTCCTGCATCACAACCTACAGCAATCATCCCAGCCCATTCTGCCCCGACTTGCCCTCCGTTCGTAACCCACTACTGAAATGGTTGGCGATGGATGGACGACTGACTTGCGTGTCAGCGCTTGAGCCTTGGTCTCTTCGAATTCGACAGTCGCCATTCCCATTCCCCTCCCGCAGTTCGCCGTCGTCGCCTCCTGCGCCGTCTTCGTTCTCGTCTTGCGCTTCCATCTACGCCCAACGTCCTCCCCCACATATTAGTCCATCGACCTAGCACCTCCTATATCAAGCCTCAAATGCTGCGATGAACCATCATCCCCGGCACCCACTACACTGCCACCCACGCCTCTCTCGTCTCATCCGCTCTTTACACCCTCAACGGCAGCTGTGATGACGTGCAAACAGAGGCTGACTGAAAGTCAAGAAAAAGGTAAAGTTGCGTGCA